ATGCTATTTCACTGCTTTGATGATTCTTAAAACTGCTTTTCGAAATAACTCGAAAACGCTCTCATAGAATTTCTTCAAACTTTGCCATAATGGAGGCAATTATGGCAGGTACATACTCCCTTAAGCGATTTCTTCAAAAAACTCCTGGTACAGAGGCGTCATTACGTTGCCATGGCGACTCCGATTGCAACAAAACCCAGATCATAGGAAATTTTCATCTTTATATAATACAGTTGTGGTAACCTTTTTTCCATATCTTTACTCACGCCGACGTAGTTAATGCTCAAACTTGGGAGGTATCAACCCCCAAAAATCCAGTCGAGCCACCTTAAGAGGCACTTCATTGTGCTTAAAAGCACACCTGAAGTGATTCCCGGAGAGATTTAAAAGCGAGGAAACGGTTTTATATTTAAAACTAGACTCAGGAAGATTCGGTTTTTACTTTCGGTAAGAGGATTACTTACTGAAATTAGTTTTCTACCTCTCGGCCCTTCTTCTAAAAGAGGCGAGTACATGTATATTTTGAGACTGGTTCTAAGAAGGAGGAACGGAGCGTTATTGTTTCTGTGATATTAATGAAAGGCATTACAGATTTCAAAGGATAGAGAAAAGAACCCTGGGTAACGTGTGCCAACTACTAGCCTGCGTGACAGGCGTTCGAAAGGGAAGGGGAAGGAAATTAGGGCGCGAGACCACGCGCGAGGGAGGAGGGAGGAGGGGAACGCCTACAAAGAAGCCATTGTTTTCGCCAACCCGCCTACTAATTAAATACAAAAATAACGCAACTGTGAATGACTAGCTGTCAAATAAGTATGGCCGCGATGCACGTATCCTAGTCGGATTTCTCGCACTGTTTTTCTTTTGTTTTCCTAAAGAAATCGAAAGTAAAGGTACTATAAAAAAAAGTTCAAATGCGGTCGTCCTTCGAAGGAATCTTCCTTGAAAGTTGCAATGACGCGTGCCGAGTTACATAAAATCCAGCATAAATCTATTCAAGTTGTTGCTGAAGGAATCGGGTTGGAAAACTATTTAATAAGAAATGTAGCGGCTCTTCGCGACTTTCAATGCAAAGTTTGTCTAAGAAAAATTAAAACACTTTGCCGTCACGCTTTCTTTGAATTTCTATCAGGAGGAACTGGATCCAGTGGAGAAAACAAAAGAACGCTGGTGGCGGGGAAAGAAGAGCTGAACTTCGAAGATCTGCAAGAAGGCAACAATTTATTATTAAAGTAAGTTCCTGGCGGTTTTATAACCGGCAGGAAGAAGTCCTCGACCGAAAATCGCCAAAAGTTATTGATCGCTTCGTCTTCAATTATCTTGCCGTTGATAATGCGGGTGAAACAGCAGATAACAAGCGCTCAGGCAGCACGAGTTTTCGTTTCTTTCTTCCGGCGAGTAAAACCGACAAGCTGTTGGGAGATAATGCTTTTCAGAACCAGTCAGTAGAACTCATCTCTGCTGACAGGCCTTTGAAGCTGAAATTGATGCCTTCTAATGATGAATTCCCGTAGAGAAATCTCAACACGCTTCGCTTATTTTAAAAACGACATATGTTTAGTTGTGAATGGTAACACTCAAGTTACTGAATGACATGTAGGTGACCAATTAGAACACGCTATTTAGATCTTATCAAATTTTGACCAATCAGGATTTTAACATTCGCCTGGTAGATGTTAAAAACGAGAAAAACAATGGCTTCCTGTCAGGCGTTTCCCTCCCTTCTTCCTCGCGCGCCCTTCGCATTTCTCTAGCGCCTAAAACTCCCTTTCCCTTCCCTTTCAAACGCCTGCCACGCAGGCTAGCCAACTACTGACGTGTTCTGTACATGAAGGGCCCAACCATATGACATCCACTTGAAAGAAAGATTTCTTTCGTTTTTGTGTTTGTTTGTCTGCTTTTTCCTGTTTGGCTTTCTGCGATTTCCGATTTCTCGTTTTCTTCTTACTTTTTTTGGTTTATCCGCAAATTTTCCATTCGGGGTCTTGGATATGTCACTACCCCAAAGCGACAGAACCGGACATACCTCACGCTGCAAAAGAAATTTTAATGACACGAGTCGTCTACGTCTTCGCCTTTCTTCACCTTGCACGTTGAATTGGCGTAAGAAATAACAGCGAGATAAAAGAAAAGAACGTCTCTTTGATCAGCTGAGATCCCTGCGCATCTTGCCTTCTTGAATTTACGCTCCAAAAGTTTCAACTGGCGTGAAAACCTTGGGAGCCGATATCAGGAGTGTGACCTTCCGAGAATTTTTCACCTAGGTAAAACAAAACCCGAAATGAATTTAGCTCGGGAGATTTTTACGGACCGTTACGGTGCGGGTGTATTGGACAACCCTCCTTTTCTGATGGTCCGTTCCTAAGAACGATACAATATATATAAAAAACACCGGAAGTTATTTTCGATATCCGCTCGCAGGGATCATTGGAGGTCGTGTTCACTGAACCGAAACGAACCTGGCGATGCGATCTTTCAGTTTTTGATAACATATTTATTAGGAGAGTACTCACTAAAAAGCTATGTCGTAAATTTTCATACGCAAATATGTGTAGGCAATCAGAGAAACGAACGATGGTTTTCACGCGTGAAAAAAATGAGACGTCCACTATGAATCGCCAACGATGTTTTTTCACGTGTGAGAAAAATGATGCGTCCAATCAGAAACCACAGAGGTGTTACCCTGCGAGCAGAGACTACATTTTCGCGGGATGAGCTGGCGTGCGAAAAGTAGCCTCTGCCGACAGCCGTTCAAATCCGTCGAAAGTCTGGACGAATAAATTAAATTTTTACCTGTTCTTGACCGGTTTAGAACATTGCGTGAGTCTTGCGTCTGCGAACGAACGCTGACCATTATTGCGCCTTCCTGCATCCCTTCGCGCCAAATTCTCGCATACGAACGCGGCTCAAAAGTAGCAACGGGTAAAGTTCAAAACAATTTCAAAAATCCCTGTTTATGTATTTAAAAGAGCTTCGTCAACTTGAATAAGCTCTGTATTTTGAAGCTGTCGGAATACCAAGACAAGCTGCTGCCGGTGCTTCTTACGGGACATGGTAAAGATCTGCAAAAGGTTTGAACCCAGGAGTCATATCAAAAGTAGGTTGAGTTTGATCGTTCGGGTGAACGTAGTCCTGAATAGGACAGTTGTTGTTGACAGTGACTGACGTTTCGACAACCTGTGCAGTAGTCATCTTCAGAGTCAAAGTGAGTTGTATCACGTCAGTTGATGGTACTATACTCTGGTTATTGATCTGATTGGTCAATTACGTCGCGATGTTATTGGTCGTCTGTCAGTTAAGCCGTGATGTTATTGGCTATGAAGACTCGTAATCAGTAATTGGTGCGTTTCGATCCGTCCATTGTCACAGTTAAACAGTCGTCTATTGTTAGTCAAAATTGTCAGTTCTGCAGTCGTTCTCTCGTAGTTAGTTTTTTGCTTGATCTCGCCAATAAGTCGTTTGTACGGCGCTGGTAACTGTTGGCTACGATACAGTGGCGTTTATTCTAAGTTAGTAAACCAGCTTTCTAAAGTAAGACGTTGATAGTAGTCGGTAGAATACGTTATACATGTCGCTATTAAGAACTCTACTGTTGAACTACCACTACCTACAGACGACATTATGGACCTACTCAACCTCTGTTTGACTTCGACGTACTTTCAGTACAACGGCAAACACTACAAACAGTTACACGGTACAGCTATGGGCTCTTCAGTTTCTGTTGTTGTAGCAGAAATTGTCATGCAAAACATCGAGGAACAAGCCTTAGCTACCTACACGCGAACTGTACCTTTTTGTTACGTTACGTTGACGACACATTCACCGCCGTACACAAAGACGGAATTGACGATTTTCACGAACACCTTAAGAGACAGAACGCGGACATACAGTTCTCCAAGGAGATCGAGATCTTCAAAATAACTTCTAGTTTAAGAACATGGCTAACACATGCTTACCTCCATCGATGTTAAGTTCATCTTCGATAGTGCACGTTTAGGGTTGTTCAGCTCCGCAAATATTCACCAAATAGCAGATGTCACCCTTCGAGTTGTCTTCTTGCTCTTCTTGCCCTGTTTTTAGTTATTTTTTCGCCAAGTTCTTACTCTTGAAACGAGTGAAATGTCCGCCATTTTTCAAGTTCAGAACTAAAACAACTCAACCTCGTTCCCAGGCCTTCTCGGTTAACGGTGCATTAACCTGCAAGAACGCTGCACTTTTTACGTCATTTCCTCGTTAAACAGAAACTTCTTCCAAATGTGGTCATCAGTAACTGGTTATGGTGGATTAAACGTGTGCTTTTAGCCATTTAGAATAGGGGAAATATTTTGAATGAATAATAAGATGGTTTAACTCTGGCCAACAGGTCGTAATATGACCTCTTGCTCTGGATTAAAAAATTCTTAAAACTAAGTGTATTACTATAGGTAATAAGCCGGAAAAAAGCAGACAGGACTTCCAACAGTTGATAGCATAAAAATACTTTCCTACACAAGACTCAGCGGCGATCCGTGGAAATTTTGCGACTAAAATACTTAAAACCAGAGGAGGCGAAGCAGAAAACCGAAACAAAAGCTCGAGGTCTTTTTTTTTTGACTTGTAGTTCTTGGATTACGTCATATCCTTACCCTCATTATATTTTTAACAAACGTTTCAGTGATACTTCCATTTCGTTCTCATTTTAGCATTTTGGAAAGATGTGAAATAAAAAGGCCGCCAAAATGATGACTGCCTCAGTAGTATATAATAAACACAATACCACATGGAAAGTGCTTCGTTTGGTACATACGAACTCGTCGTTTTTGTACTAGAAATCTCACTCGTTCGCTGCGCTCACTTGTGCGATTTCTGATACGTCAAAAAATCGTGCGAAAATATCGTACGCCCGCAATTTCCACGAAGTATTCTCTATATATTGTAAGTATTTTTTGCTGATTTCGCCCTCGCGCTCGTAGCTCTTACTCACTGCTCAAAAGAGCTGTCGGGTCGAGAACAATTTTCACAACGCCCGGTCATTACAGGAAAATGTTCCCTGCTCGGCACCCAATGAGAGCGCGCGCACTAATGTAGCCATAGAATAAAGAAGCGTAATTGGCATTATCGACAAAATTAACAAGCCGTGACACAGCCCCTTTAATTAAGGCCAAAGTGAAATTAAACAGATAGCCAGCCTACCAAAAAAAGACATCTCACGTTTCAGGTTTCGCGAAATCTGATTCTAGCAGTTCTAATTAATAACTGACATCAGTTAGTTCTCAAATGAAAGATCTACTTCTCTTGCTTAGGCTTGAGCAATGACAAAGTAGTTTGGAGCGCTTTGCTAGCCAGACACAATAGTGTTCTGACAAATCAAATAGGAAATTGTATGTCGGCCTTATGTTTTCCAGATGTCTGCACCCCGTGTTTTCTTGGTGACTTTGACGGCCTTGCATCCAGGAAGAACTTGATGCCTTTTTATCGTCTGCAGTGCATTAGCGATGTTACCTGCAACAAAAAAGGACAAAAGCCCTCAGTGGCGTTATTCTTCACTAATTGTGTGGACTTCAGTTGTAACCTACCAGTTCACAGTGGTATATATGACATATATAATATTGGCAGCGTCCACACAAATCACGAAGACTGGACGTCCTGTACCAACGAAACTACGACAGTGTAATATTTTGTTTGAAACTAGTATACCTTAAATATTTAACTGGACCTCAATTTTCCCGAAATTTCGTCTCCGCTTGAGGGCACTCTGACATGTCTCTCGCGCGTTGCTAAGGGAAAGCATTTTTACTTCCGGTGCACGTGCATATAATGATTTTAGGGAGTACTGGAAGGAATATGTTTGCTCTTTGGAAAATTATTTCAAGTTTTGAAAAATGGGTGCTGCATGCCATCCGTGGCGTGAAATTCAGTACTATAATTTCTTGTCATCGAATTCAAAATACACCGTAAACGGACAAAAATGGAAAGGAAGAGTTTGAAAAAAATACTAAGTTATCCTTCTGAGAAGAAATGGCACCTTCAAGCAACGAAGCTTTGCGGATCATTTTACGTTTCCGTGAAACTACCCACCTACCCCTCCCCTAAACCAACATGAACACTTAGTTTTTACTTAGGGCAAAATGTTGGCTATGGGGAGGGGTACGTGGGCAGTTTCACAAAAACGTAAAATGATCCAACTTTGCTTCAAGGACTTTTTTCTTTGTGGGCGCTGCGCTCGTTCGGGTCGGCATCAGAACTGGATGATACAATGATGATACTGGATCTGGAGGTCGGGGGTTCAAAACTCGCCTTTCGTCTTGTTTCCTTAGACAAGGGACTTTACACCACTTTGTCTCTCTTCACCCACGTGTATAAATGGGTACCGGCGACACCTTTTTTTAAGTGCTAGTGTGTCTTTTACTAGGTATGGACACCACACTGGGTCTGTGTATTCAAGGATAGGTCGTACTAAAGTTATATACAAAATACAAAATTTTTAGGTCCAAGCGTACTGAAAACAATGTCTAAAACTTTATTAGGCATGTTTACAGCAGCTTCAACTTGAGCTCCCCACGACAGGTCACACACTTTACTGGTTTGATTACTACTTCCATAGTATCCGAAGGAGATGACTTGTCACGGTTATGGGTAATGCGCATTGCTTCGCATTTCTCTGGATTAAATGTCAGCTGCCATAGAGTTGCCAAATTTGCTAAGTAATCCATGTCAGTTTGAAGGGCTCGAGTATCATTTATACTAACGGAAATCTGTCTGTACACTTTTTTGTGTCTCGTAGACAAAGACTTTAATGGTTGACGAGATGTTAGACGATATATCGTTCACATAAATGAATAGGATAGGACCAAGTATTGTTCCCTGGGGAAATCCACAACTGACAGAAGACTATGAGTAGGTGGTACCATGCACTACAAAGCGTTGTTGCCGATTTGTCAAGAAGTTTCTAAACCATTGCAACAGGTTGCCCTCTATTCCATAACCTTTCAGTTTGAGGAGCAGGCGTCAATTAGGCCCTTTGGAACTGGTATACGTTGTGCAGATCATCTAACATACAAGTCTCTGGTACTATGCTGCAAGACGAAGCTCTAATAATAGGAGAAAATTGGGAATTGAAGGATTCACCACTTCCAATGGTTTGCTGGAGTGTAGTTTGGGAGGAAGGAGATGTTAATTCTATGACCTTTGAAAGCTGGAAAGAGAAGTCAAGAAAACTGATTAGAGGAAGGAAGCCAGAAAATATTTGTAACATTGACGAAACTGGCTGTTTCTGGAAAGGTCTTCCTGAGGTGAGCCTGAATAAAAAGGGAAGCAGGTGTAGTGGCGGGAAGCAGTCGAATCAGCGAAACAAGTCAATGCGGCAGGTGGGAAAGAAGATCCTATCGTAATTCGCCAGTCAGAAAAGCCTCGATGCTTAAAAACCTAAAAGATGCTAGTCGTCCTTACAAATGTCATTATTTTGCAAACAGGAAAGCGTGGATGAATTCAGACCTTACGACAGACATCTCGGCGTCCTTAAACCGTCGTTTGCAGCTGAAGCAACGGAAGATTATGCTTTTCATGGACAACGCCCCCTGCCATCCAGCTAGTTTACAAGGTAAATTTTCCAACATAAACATTGTGATTTTACCAAAAAAAAACAACATCGAAGACACGGCCACTTGATAGCGGCATAATCGCAAGTTGAAAGTGCAGTTACAAGAAAAGGTTGTTGCGTCATGTTTGTAGTAAAGTGGATGGATCAAACAGTGCAAGCGACAAGCGAAATCTGTCAACTCGTTGATGACCATCGCATGGGCAGGCATGGGATGATGTCTAAAGAGAAACGATTGTCAAATGTTTCAAAAGAACTGGGTTGTACCCCAATGAAGTTGAGGAGGAGGACCATTCTTTTGGAGGAGAAGAACTTTCAAGATCGCAGGAACTCGTTACGGCAATGGAAGCATCCTGTACTGCAGAAGAATTTTAGCGGCTGAAGACGAAATTGACATATTAAAATATGCTCTGGTCTCTTTGACCCAGCAGATCCAAAATGGAGACAAAAGGCAAGACAATAAATCTTGAAGAATCATGCGAGCATTTCTACGGAATCAACACTAGCAAAGCAATTACACGTGGAAGACTCGGGCGAAGAGGAGGATCAAACCACAAAGTAACCAGCCATTAAATTGGAAAACGAGACGTTACGATTGTTTGAAATGATGCTGGAATATTCCCGATATCATGGACCAGAGGACCATATGCCGGCCATTAGCAAGGTAACCAACTTGCTCCAGAAAATGAAGTTTAAGAAGCTCAAACAATAACGAATTGATGACTTTTTTCGTTACAGATAATGCTTAATGTTCATTGCATCAGTGCAATATACAGGCTGTTTTGCTCACTTGATCAGTTTCACAGTACAGTATTGTTTTCTCATTTCGTTTTGTTTGTATAGAGCTTGTTTCACTCATCTGATTTCTTCAAATGGGAGTTGCAATCTATGCTCATGGTTCATGGTTATGGTCCAGTCTATGATCAATTGGTCCACTTTAGTAAAGCTATTAATGCAAACGTATATCATCATAGTCCTTTGAATGGAATTTTACACCTTATATGAAGTTATCTATCGAAACCTGTATTTGGCAGCTTTATTAGCATATTACAGCTTTCACTGTATTTGAAATAAAAGTATTAATAATTTGTGTCAGCGGAGAGGGAATGTAGTCGGCAGCCATCTTTGGATACTTAGCAGGTACTTGGACAGCTCCAGTAGGACAATCAGATCTCATGTTTTTAAGCTGTTTCAGCACTTCACAAAGGGTGACAGGACGAAGGTAGAATGAGCTTGTGAAACTATCAGATAGTGAGTTGATAAGTTCTTGATCCTAGCAAGCGAAATGGTTGTTGAGCAGATCCGAATCCACTTTAGGGGCTGAGGATTAGGATGAAGAATTCGATGAATCACCTACCAGAGCTCTGGGTTTGCTCGATGACAAGGCTTTCTGATAAAACAAACGCATTACTTGTCTAATTTTTGTCCTTAAATTATTTTGCAGGTCTCGAAATTTACTCCAGACACCGACTGGCTTGCTCTAATGAGCAAGATGTCGTAGCTAGGTTTCTTTTGCTTGTAGCTGCCTAATGTCGTCAGTGTCTAACCATGAGGCAGGGGGGTGGGTGATCTTCGTTCTGGGTAGTGGAGCAGGTGTGTCTGTGCATGACTTCAAAACGAATCAGAGATGTCTTGTTGCTCTGCTGAATCATCAATGCTATATACGAGGATAAAAGGAAGTGCAGACAAGTCCTCTTTAAAAGCTTTTTCACCAAAACGTTTTTAGCTACGAACAAGTTTGAATCGGAATTTCTTGGTGTTTGTGGCTTCAGGATTCATTAAATCGATGTTTGTGTCTCCAGCTATAACAAGGAGACCGTCCCAGAGGGCGCTTAACTGGCTAAACAGGTTTTCAGTCTTATCCAGCCAAGATTGAAAATCCTGAATATGTTCTGAATATAGTACATTACACCAAGCAACATCTTGCTATGTCTATTTCTCCCCGGAATCTCCACCCACAAGTGTTCCAAATGTGGCTCAATGCTCTCGATGTCTGTACGTCGTTTAAAGGCAATATTATCTCGTATGTACGCCCCAACACCTCCTCCACGTATTTTGTCACGGTCGCGAAATACGCTAGAAAAGCCGGGGATGCTGACGTAATTTAGTAGATGTGGGTTATCCTTTAACCATGTTTCGGATACTCATTGATGGTGAACAGTACTTCATTAAATGTAGAGACCATGCTTTGAGTATTAAGATGAGCGAGCCTCAGTTGCTTCGATCTGCTATTTAGTGCTTCTAAGTGGTCATTAAACACATTTAGGTTCCTCCAGATGACAATCGGGAATGTATTCATACGGTGAGGCATGTGCAGTTGGAAGATCTAAAGAGTCCAAATCCTTGCCACTGAAAAAAGGAAGTTCACTCAGTGTACAATTATTGCATATCCATTTCAGAGGACTATAGGCTTGTAGGTGTTTTAGCTCCGTGGGTAAAATGTCAGCAAAGCGAGCGTGAGTCAAGGAAAACACTTCTTACACAGCAATCTTTTATGGTAACTCTCCACAGTTTTCGAGCAAGTTAAGCACTTGGTTGCAGTGGATTTTGTTTGGTCGTCATTTGGACCAGGGTTGGTTTCGACATCGCCACTGGAGTTGAGAACGAATATGGTTGGATTAAAGGGAGTTGTTTGGTTGGACAAATAAAGTTTTCTCCTCTTTAGGAACTTTTCTTTTAGTAGAGGAGTAGTAGGAGGATGAGAAGAAACGGCTTTCCAATGAATAATCAAAGTCTCCGTCCCTCCACGTGAGGGAAAGCAAATCCAAAATGGCGGACACGATAGCTCACAGTGAAGTCGCAATTCAATTGAGAAATACTACTGGAAAATAAATCCTGCTGAAGCTATATATTATCGGGAACAGTGCTGCTGTTGAAGAGCCACGTGGAATTCAAAGAAAGCGCCAAAAACTGGAGTAAAAGACTGCAACGTAGAAAAGTTGATCCGACCGCCATAACGACCGTGACTATTATTTCTTATTTCTACATAAGCTTTACTCGCTCCACTTCATTCTGCAATGCCTTCTTGTTTATGATATTATAAACAAAAATGTACCTAAATATCTTTCCAATGAGCAAAAATAGGAGGGACACTTCCATCGAGGGCTGTTAGGTATGGGATCCCTTGATGGCTCTAATGGCGGGAAATCCCTAGACAGGTGCACACACATTCCTGGTCATTTTTGAGTGCGATTCAACGGGTCACCATACTTTTCAGAGCTTTTTCGAACAACTCTCTGGTAAATATAGCAGAATAAGAAAGTAAAGGAAAAAGATGTTTAACAACTAACTGAAACTGCCTATGTTCAATGTGCTTTGATACATGACAGACATGTTAATCAGACTTAGATCATGGTGACATGGTTGTTCCTTGAAAGAAACTTGCGAACCTGCATATGAAATTTGAAAACAATGCCAGTGAATAATGAGGACGCTCATTTGTAAACACAATCTCTGGGAGAAAATTTTGTGACATTTAAAGCCCCAATAAATTGTTTTCCTTTTTTCATGCAAAGATTCAGATGAAATTGAAGCACTATGAGATGAGACTTCACTTTCAGACCTCACCATTTCCTTTAGATATTAGCTAATTATATCTAAAGCCTGTTTATTCAGTGTTTTTATAACCCTTAAAACTTTGTTTTAAAATATTTTGAAAACGCTCTCATAGAATGTGCTCAAACTTTGCCATAATCGAGGCGACTAAGGGAGGTGCAAGGTCCTTTAAGAAATTTTTGAAAAAACTCCTGGTACCGAGAAATACAAAGGCGAGTAAAAAACGTAATGGCAATTCTGATGTCAATAGAACATGGATTATAACAAATTTTTATCTTTGTTAGTACAGCTGTGGTAACCTTTTTCCGATATCTTTGTTAATGCCGAACGCTTTAAGCGGGGAAGTATACCCACTATAATGTCAAGCCACCTTAGTTGACTGGTGCACAATCACAGGCTTTTAACTCGTTTGACATCATACATCGTTTGTCCCTCTATTCCAACATTTATAGCACAGTAGATTCTTTATCATTGTTTCTGAAGGTGTATATGTATATAACCAATGCACCATTTGGTTAAAAGGCAAAGTTAGACACGTTGTAAACAATGTATACGAAGATGTTGATTTTATACCTGTAGCCTGGGAGATCGTTAAGAAACCTTTTTGTGTTAGACCAAACGCTACATTTGGACGCCAATTATACGCGCTTGTACATAATGTTAATAGTATCCTTGGAAATTTAGAGAGCGTAATACTGTTTTTATTGATACGTCTTGGGAATCCTGACTTCTTGCATTATTCGTCAAGAGAAAAATTTGGCCCCCCTCTCTCGAAATCGCCTTATCGTTTTTTACAGTTGTCTTAAGATTTTTTATTCACCACACGGTTCATGCAGTTATGTGGCACATTTGAACGAATCGCTACAGGGGAAAGCCATAAATTTTACACAGAAATACGCACGTGCATGCGTTCGCGTGCACGCTATCAGTCCCACACATGAAAGGAATGTTGTACACTCCGTTCTTCTAAATTTTCCAATCGTGCGGTGGTCCTTCTCAGTGTTACGGTTCTCTTTATACCAATGCAGAAGTATGAAAATAAATCAGGTCACCGCTGTAGAAACGTTCGCAATATCACTATGGACACCCCAGCACGCTACAACTGCGTCAGTCCTGTGACCGAGTTACAACTTAACGTCAACAGCTCTTCAAATTCCTTCTCTAACACAGTCTCGGACAAAAATAGTTGGGACACTTCCATCGCACGCTGTTCTTTTATACGTCTGGCAGTTTCCTCGTCCTCCCAATGTTGTTCATCGGAGTCAACTAATGAAATCTTGTGCACCAACATTGGTAGAGTTAGAAGACAGTTAAGTGTCCCGACAATTTTGACCGAGATTGTAGTTTTGGGTTTGAGTAACATGTAAGTGTTGAGAGAAGTTTCACACAAGTCACAAGAGGAGGACAAACAAACGTACCACTCTGTAGCTCTATGTACACAGCAAGTAGTACCACTCGGGAAGATAGCTCCTGCGACAAGCCCTGGGTACATGCCTACAGAGAACAAAATAAGCTCAGTGTTCCGCCGCAAAATGTAATACTAACACTAAACAGGTTCTGAGTAATAACATTTTGCGTTGAAAGATTATTAGTAAAGTGTCGAAGTAAGCCCTCTTGATGCGTTTTTTACTCTTACGGCAAACGTCGTCTATAAAACATTTTTAAAAACATATTCTTGCCTCCTCTGTCCCTAAGGTGGCGGTTGTGGAGACGTTCGACTGTATTTGTATTTAGGGAACAATGACATTATGGTAACGGATAAGGAAAGCCTAGCCTGATTAGAACAGTTTTCGTTTGACCTTGAAATGGTTACGCATGAACAAAACTAAAACAACAAGCAAAAAAGAATATACATTTCCAGCTACGATAAGATTGTTTTAACGAAATTAGTTGCATTACTTGAGGGAACAGGAACTGGGGTACCGATTGGTACCGTCTTCCATCAGAAGGGTTTTCTTTGGCGGATGCTAAAACGAGTTCATGTTTTGATCTTGTATATTACTGACTGCTAAAACAAATAACGGCCACTTATGGTAACAATTTTTCAAGGTCAAACAAACACCCTCCTATACAGATGCAGTAATAACAGAAAGAGAAAAAAGAAAGTACCTGTTGTAAACACTTGCGTGCCTTGTCAAACTCACTCCGTAAACCATACACTCCAGCTAGATTGACAAGAAATGATGCTCGAGCCTCTCCCAAAGACTGAGGGAAGTACATCTTCTCACAAGCTGTCCAATTAATTATAAGACAGTGTTAACTATTAATAAATTCTGCGCGAGAATGAACTGGACTGACTAACTCTCGGGTGAGGCTCCTCGCGCTAGCTCGTCCAAGTTCGCTACTGCGGGAATATGCACATGACGTCTATTAATTCGGTTGTTTTACAGGCCATCTCTGGAAGTTCAAGGGAAAGCAATTGTTTAGTTAAATTAACTTGAGACCCCATCGTGCCAATGGCCTATAAACACAAATCAGATTATTCAAAACCGAATCATTGGATCATGCAATTCTAGGGCTCTCATTGGCTTAGTTATCATGGTATACGAGCCATTAAACCATGCTCTCCAAATATGGTAAATGAACGCGTCTGCTCACAACTAAAAACAACCTGAAAATCGGTTGTCTTTACAAATATAGTCGGCGAGAGTTCTCGATATTTTGTGGACGTTTTTAATAAAACAATTATTCCACTCGCATTTGTTGGATATGAGATGATCTACCGTCTCATATCCAACACGCACTCGTGGAATAATTGTTAAATATATAGATTTAGACAGGGCTAAAAGCGAAGTTTCGAGAATGAAATCCTCAAATCCCTAATTTACTTTTAACGCTTTTTATTTACCCTCTATTTTAAGGAAGGGGGTCAGGTGACTGAGAATAGGATATCCCGCAAACACTCCCGAAAGAAAACGGACCCTCCCATCACGCTGAAAGACTTCCGTTCAACACCCCGCCATCACTTATACCCAGGGACAGGTGTGGGGTATTTGACAGATAAGGTATTCCCGGCTTTGGGGAATTTATACAAGAAGTGTCAGGTTTATTACAAATCTCTTTATACAATCCGGTGTCTGACGTAAATGTGCGCTTTCTCATAGTGAGTTGGAGCCGGGGGGGGGGGAAGTTAAAAATACACAGCTTTGTATGCGAATGGCTTGTTCAACGATGACTTCCAAAGCTACCAGTTTGCACGCTTTTAATGTTATGTATGAATGTATGAAAACGAGAATGACTGATCGACATCATGTGAATTTTTTTAGTCTATATGGCTGCCACAATACCGCTTTGTCCAAAGTAGTTACCTTCAGTGAACAGAGAAAGAAATTTGTAGATCAAAATGAAAGAACCTCAATCAAGCAATAAATTTTTGTATGTTAATTTTAGTTTATTAAGAAGAGTCTACCTTAAACCGGTCCAATGCGTTTCGGGTCGGAAAATCAATTTCCTTTAAACTTGGCCCATGAATTTATCTTGGTCCAAAAGTAATTGAAACGGCATTAGTTTTTGGAAATATTTCAAAATAAAATTTTTCGGGAGGAAAATCAGCTCAGCGCGCGGCGGCCGAATTTTGCAGTGACAAGGAGTAAAAATAGCGCATATTGCCGAGTTTACCACTTCAAAGTTTTGCACTTTCAACGATTTTTTTCACTTCCTAGGATTAAATTGGTCCTTCAAACATGTAAAGTACACAATCTTGGTCCTTCAAAAGCAAATAGAATCTACTAAATATTTTTTGATTTTCATCCTAGCTGTGTGAAAAATTCCAACATCTTCTAAACAAAATACCTTTTCAGAACAACAAAGTGAATGTCCAAAAACATAGAAACATAAAATTATGTTGTGATTAAGCGATTTGTCAGCACAGCCGATCGACGAAATATGCCTATTTTCTGTTATGACTGTTTACAATACACGATCTTAATGCAAACCCGCATTAAAAAAGTCTTAATGCAAACCCGCAACAACAGAATAATTCAATATATGTATCAAGTATTTTAAACTTTTTGTGACTTTTAACACAATAGAACATTAGTTAGGAAAGGAAACCAATTAAACCGAACGCATTAATACTACAGGTGTACCTGTTTACAGCGCTTGATCCAATGTCGTCGTCGCTGTGTACAAAAAACTGATATCACGTGATGGTGCTTGTCATGCATTCCGATATCTGCTGGAATCGTTACGCCGCGAAAACATTTTTAACTTGTGGATTACGCGTAGCGGTTTTGCGAGACACTTATCAGCCATGCTCTTCAAATGCGACGAAATGAGTTAAAGTACGGCTTTAATTGTCAACACGATGCTTGCTTTCTTCGAATTCAATTCTTCATAAATATAGCTCTACCACCTGAAACAGCGTCGACTGGCAGAATTTCATGGCCAAAAGTGTTAAACATGATTAATTTAATGGGGACTTTCAATATTAGTTGTCGTGGCGCAATAAATAACGCGTCAACTTTCCACGTCAGAGGTCCGTTGTTCGACTTTCTCTACTAGAAACCTTTGGTCCTTTTGTTTTTTTCTTGCTTTTTTGTAAAACATGTTTTCATTTTTTGACAGACTCAAAAAAAACCCGCTACACTTATTGCAGGTTTCATTTCTAAAATACAGTAATTAATGATCCACAAGTTAGCCTTGGGTACCACACACCTGGACGATCTTACGGAAAGATAAGGGACAGTGAACAGTCCAGTGGCCCGCAAGCAAACATCTCCCTTGCCCTTACTCTAGAACAAATAATGTACCCTGTGCCTCGTTTAATGCTTTCGATTTCTTTCACAATCACTGATATATAGATTTAAACAGGGCTAAAAGCGCAGCTCTCGTTGATATACACTTGAAGTTGTACTCGAGCAAAAAATAAAATCGTGTGATGCTAACCTGCGACGGCAACGAGAATTGCGAACAAAAACTCAACAAAGTGTTATACTGGGAGACTCCGCTTGGAGACTCCGCCCTGATTATCCAACCCATTACCCATTTGTATACCACTTCTGACTGAAGATGTGCCCCTTGAAGGGCAGAAAGCTCGCAACGCAGATCGCACACGAATGTTTACAAAAGCTGAGTGGTTCAAAAGTACAAATTTAACGATTTTTGTCGCAATATACGAGAAACAGTCCAGGAATATATAAGACTTTTCTTCCATAAAATGTGCAACTAGGAAGTTTCACGTACGTTGAAGCGGTGTAAAACAATGGCAAAAAAATGTACGAAAAATGTGCTGCACATGTAAAGTTTTTTTTCCGCTCTTAAGGTGATTCCTTAGTAAAAGAACCTAACATAGATTGCAGATGAAACTTAGTACGCTGATGTAACAAGTCAAGATAATGATAAAAAAAGTAATAAAAAGTGGGGGTCACCGTGCTGGTTTTGACGTCACAATGCTGAGAAATACGGCTATTTTGGACCCTTTGTCAAAAACCGCGCACAGTCCAAAACTAGACAAAAAGGAGAGATTTTTTCGATGATGCATGTGGTATCGCACAGAATTTGACTTTATTGTATTGTTTATCCACTTACCAGGGTTTTCATTGAGAATTCTAGTAGCAGGAGAAAGGTGTAACGTTACAGGAGAATATTTTGAAAGAGGCTCCACGTCTGAATATAAAATAGTCATAGGCTACCGAACGTTTGCCGGAGAATCATGCATAGTAAACGGAGAATTCTCCGATCGCCGAAGCCAAATGAACACCCTGCTTACATACCAGAAAAATACCTTTTAATGCTCCTGTTTCTATTTTACGCTCCAAAGTAGAATTGAATTGGACACGCGCTATTCGACCCGTGATAGCTCAATCCGTACAATTTAGTAAAATTGCCAAAAAACTGAACATAGATTTGTGCAAATTTTTTTCTCATCGAAAGGAAGCACTGTCCTTATTAAAATCATGAAATAAAAAATGGGGGTCACCGTACTCGTTTTTGCGGTAGAGCTGCAGAAAGTGCGCACCAAATGCATTTTCTCCGATATTTGAGAGAGGACTGGGGCGAGTTTCAAAATAGAATGTATGTGAAAGGGGGAAGAAAGTATTAAAAAATCCGTTTTTACAGAATTTACATCGAGATATCACATTTAGGACACAATGTGATAAAGAAAGCGTTTAAATGAAAATCGAAGTGAGTAAGCACAAGCTAAACATCCACTATCGAGGTTCTCCGTGAGGAAGTCGAACTCAGCAACACGCGTACTGCTTACGTTATGCACATTCCCAACACATTGAGTCTCACCTCGGCAAGAAACAACCGCAAGCAAAAATTCCAGTAGCGTTTCTCTTCAGTCAACTTCATTTTAATGATGTTACTTCTTTTCCCCTTTTTTACGGTGGCCATCTTGTTATGCGCAGTAAGAGATGCGCAGTGCAAAACCAGGGAATCACCTTAAGCCCTATTGATTTTTTTTGGCATTTCTCATTGCCTTCACCAATTAACACGATTTTTATTAATTGTTTTCCGGGGTACAACTTTGACTATATTAACGAGAGCTGCGCTTTTAGCCCCACCTAAAACTACTATTGATTATTAGCTAGTGTACAAGATGTTAGTCAAACCAGAAACTGAAGGAATACAGTCGACATCGAAAGCGCTAAGCGAGGTAAACCACCAGATGAATAAGCAGAGTAATCTGATTTCAAAGGTACAGTATGTTTTTCCAGAATAACAGCAAGGGGGTGGGGGGGATGTTTGTTTGCGGGCCACTAGACTGTTCACAGTATATTATCCTTCCGTAAGATCGTCTAGATGTGCGACCTTCTTGGGTCTGCTGCCCCAAAAGTAGCTGGATTTCATTTCATAGTCATCCCCAGGCTAAACAAGGTGCATCTGAAACCAAGATGGCCACCTGTAAGAGAATGTGCTTGATCCCGACGATTTCAAGGAAAAATAGAGAACTGTGGAAAGTCTAGCGGGCCTTCTGCCAGCAAGCACACTGCACCCCCATCACCGGCCCCACCCTGGGTCGTGGAGCTTGATGAGACCTGAAAACAGGACAGGTACTCGTCGGTTTAATACCACGGGCTACCAGAAATATGAAATATATTTAAAAAAATTAATGCAAATATTAACGACAAACATAAGACAAAACAAAGTAAAAGCACATAGCAACAACCAGTTGTTTTGTAAATGCTAACCTGAATGTAGAGGAGCCTGCTCCTGGAAAACTAAAAAGTTGCTATTGTTAATGCACTAGGCACTTATGCGTGCATGATTCTTGATTTTGTAGCAATAAATATAATAGGATACTCTATTGATAAGATAATTTCCTCCCTTTCAATTTTAGTCAGGCTAACAAAAAAGTTTTTCGAGGCGTAACGATTCCAGACATAGGAATAAGTGACAAGCACCATCACGTGATGTCAGTTTTGCGTACACAGCGAAGATGACTCGATCAGATCAAGCGCTGTAAACAGGTACACCTGTAGTATTGATGCGTTCGGTTTAAAGGGTTTTCTTTCCTAACTGATGTTCTATTGTGTTAAAAGTCGCAAAAAGTTTAAAATACTTGATACACTTTATGAATTATTGTGTTATTGCGGCTTTGCATTAAGACTTTCCATCGTGTATTGTAAACAGTCATAACAAAAAATAGGCATATTTCTTCAATCGGCTGCGCTAATAAATGGCTTAAATCACAACATATTTTTATGTTTCTATGTTCACTATGTTGGTCTGAAAAGGTATTTTGTTTGGAAGATGTGGGAATTTCGCACAGAGCCAGGATGAAAAGATGCATTTTTGAGCCCTTTCCCGCCTACGGCAAAGTGGGTGTAAATGAAACAATGCGTTGCTTTTTTGTACTTTACATGTTTTAAGGACCAATTTAATCCTGGCCATCGACAGCTTAAGTGATTTTCCTCCTAAAACATTTTATTTTGAAATATTTCCAAAAACTAATGCGGTTTCAATTACTCTTGGACTAAGATATATTCATGGGCAAAGTTTAAAGGAATTGATTTCCGACCCGAAACGCAGTGGACGGGTTTTTTGGGAGACTCTCTCTTAATTTTTCAAATTCATTATCTGCAAACAATTTCTTCTTTGGGGGTGGGCATTGACAGCTGTTCCTGAGGTAGGGTCTTAGACCACTTTTTTGGCCTAATGTTACGGGAATTTGAACAGGCCTGTCTTAAAAGGTTAAAAGTTTCGAATTGATTATTGGGTCCTTGCAAATAAAACAGAAAATCATTAAAAATATTGCTCAAACAAAGGACAGAACAGTTGATTACAATGATAGTTTTAGTTGCCAAACCTATAATTATTCGCACCAACATTGCAATTTAAGGCTGCGAGCAAACGAAGGCAACAACGCCTGCGTGTTGGCAGTGGTGTGCAAACGGATGCAATAACTCCCAACAATGTTGGGACCTGCAGTGCATCGTGGGAAGGATACAACCCATAAGTCTTTGAAACCATGCGTAATGAGCGTGCGTGGCCCCAGCAATGTTGGAAGAGTTGCGCAAACGGATCCAACATTGTTGCGCTACGCTTCGACGATCACGGAACAAAAGAAATGTTGGGTGTTGTTGGCTGAAAAGTTTGACCGGTTTCAAACTTTGCGAAACAACATCCAACAACATGCAACAGGGTGTGCAAACGGACGCAACATGTAACATCCAACAATGTTGCATCCGTTTGCACGGGGCTTAACAGTCAATAGTTAACAGTACAAAAATAAAACGTTCTTTAAATCTGAATTATGCGCTTTGTATACATCAAGCTTTTGTTATGCACATGCTGGTCAAACAATCACGGTTAAAAATAGTTTTGATTTCAAAAATCACATTTTGCTTTACTTATCCGTTCCTTAAAGCTTATCATTTTTTCAGGAAAATTGCCGTCTGTTTACGCTAACGTTTTATGTTTTAGCCTATTATCTTCTTCTTGAAATATAAAAGGGGTAAGCATGTCGGAATGTTGTTTTCTTTTTCCTCAGTTTGGGAGAGTTGTAATACTGGTGATGATAAATTCACAGACGTTTGCAAAGCACATAAGCCGGTCGAGTGTATAATATTTTTTCATATCACACCGAAAAAGGTCTTGCAAAAGATAAAGCACAAGACTTAATTCTTAACTCTCCGAAAACTCGAAACAGTCACTCGCTAGTAGATGTTTTTGTGATTTGCATTTTACAGTCTTATGTGAATAGACTAAGTTTATCGGTAGCTTAGGTCTAGGCCAAACGTCGAACGTTTCATAAGACTGAACAAACTCTAATTTGGGTCGACTTAAATTAAGTCAAGTAATGCGTCGAGCCCATCAACTGAATCAGACCAAAAAGTAATTTTAATAAATTTTCTCCCGAACAAGGCAAAATAGACATTACCATGCAAATTTTTAATTTACTAGTTTAGTTCGTCGCAAGTAAAGATCAACGATTGTTCCGGAGACAGTCTTCAGACGTTCTATCTATCTGAAGCAAACGGATAGAACCTGTTGGACGATTCAAACTCATTTAGACGACCTTAACTGAGCCAGACGTCGAACTTTTCATGAACTTAACTCACTAAGTTTGGTTCGTCTCATGAAAAGTTCGAAGTTTGGCTTAGGCCTTACCGGCCAGTGAAAAACACCACTTTTCATGCCAAAACTGGTAAAACGAGACAAAAACTTCCTACACTTTAAAATTAAACAATATTAAATGAAAAGTGTATATCAGTTTGAACCAATTAACCACAAGAATTGACACACTGCAGAAAAAGTTCAAAAAAGGCTATTCCCAGTCGAAAGTCTGAAGTTTTGAATTAAAACTTGCGCACACGGGTGTACGTACACGTCATAACCAAACTTTCGGGCAACGGTATGTTTCCAATTTCTGTAGCAATGTGGCTCCACCACGCGCGCGGAAGCTACGCTGATACGTTTTCTTGATTTGTCTTCTAAAGCTCCCACAACTAAGTGGTCTTTAGGCAAAAATTACCGCAAAGCACAAACAGTTTGTATGCATGTCACAACCACAAACTGTCTACTGGTATCTTGCTTTAGATAGCGTTGCTTTACTGCGCCTTGAGGTTAGGATTTAGACTTGGGTGACTTTACATAAAGAGGGTAGCAGCTGACAGTATCTATTGTTACTAAGAATCTTTGAAATTCTCTTACCATGTGGTCTAGAAACTTCTTTGTCCCTATCTCCATTATCATTCGGCAGAACTGCTGAAACATAACAACATTGTTGGTGGTAACAAAACAAAAAAACAAACAAACAAACAATACAGAAACAAATAGCTTAAACACATAACCAGTACGAAGACTACTATTTACGCGTTAAATCAACCGTAAACGTAAAACACACACTTGTATTGTAGGGCGGAATGATTGTGATGTTGTTGATATTCTCCGTTGAAAGGTGCATGATAGCTTCAGGCAAACGATTCAGTTTGATCAGAGCCTCAGCAGCATATAGATGACCAAGGAACCTAAAAATGTGAAAAAAATTCTTCAAATGTTTTCAAAATCTTTCAATAAGTGTTAAGCTGTTGAGTCCCAAAAACTTGCTACGCGGAAAGGCAGTACTCACTTGAGTCCTCCAACAAGGTTAGATTGAGATAACAGTCTCTGAGCGTGAGTTAGAGCCATTACATTGTCCCCCAAACCAAGAGCTACATAAGCACTGCTAGCGAGAATTGAACACCTATATAGAAAAATCAATACAGATAGTATGTAAATAATAATAACTGCCAAAAAAATAATAAATAAAATAATGTCAGCGCCTCTGCAGAAACCCTAGGGAATCCTACTGAATTCTAAGCGAGGAAATCGACTCATTGTTGGCGGTAAAACAAAATTTATCGCTTAATACTTCTTCACAACCGTACACTATCGTAATAATCAATCGAAAAAGTAAGGTTTTAATTGCTGAAGACATCAATAAGTTTTTGACTCACCTGAGGTGTGGAAGCTCACGAAGTTTAACAGGAGGAGCGGGAGGAGCTGGAATACTTGTTTCACTTTGCATAGACGAAGACCGACTAAATCCTCCACTATCACTGCAAGTAACACACTACACTCACCAAGACAAACTAACACGAAAAACCTTCATTTGAACTTAGTCTTTGTATGTTGTCCTTCAATAGCATTTTAAATAAAAAAATCGAGGTCCAAGTGACGCCTTACATTACTGCTGAAAACTTAAAATGTAAGTAAGTAAGCGTAAGAAATTATAAGTGAGTACCCAAATCAGTAACCACCAAGCAATCATGCATGCAGTTTCCATCCCTGAGAAAGTGGAATCATTTTGCCATCGATTTGTAAAAAGTTAGTAGGTAAAACCGAAATTCTGTAGGCCAAATGCAAAATACTGTATGACTAGGTTCCTAAACAGAAAGAGTTTATGTGCCTCGAGTCGTTGCATATCAATATATCAGCTGATTGCTTTCTAGTCAAAAGAAATTGTAAAAAAAAGGTAACTGTGGTCATCGGCGTGCTTATGACAGGAAGATGAAACGTGATCTGTAGCGACAGGGGAATGAGCGTGACTCGTTGCGCCAACGTTGGCTAGACTTGTTTGATAGTTTTCTTGATGAATCCTGTAACAAGTTTGATAATATGCTAATTTGAGGAGACATAAACCTTCCTAAAATCTCTTGGGATTCGTCAGAGTCTTCTACTAGTACTTGTGAACAGCACTTTGTTGATATTCTCAACGATCAGGTGTTACTCCGACTTTATTACCTGCCGACATGTGTAAACAATGTCCTCGACCTGGAGATCTGAAACGTGCCGGACCAAGTGAATGGGTTAGAAGTGATAAATCCTGAGGAGGCGGCGATATTTACTGATCATTGTATCATGTCGTTCGATGTCGCCATTGCTGTTAAGGCACCATCTAAGAATCAGCGCTTTGTGTACGACCATATTAGAGGGGACTTTGAGGGTCTTCGGTCTTCGCTACGTGTCGCAAATTTGGCTTATTCTGTTTCTAATGACGATGTTAATATAAACACAGACTGGCATATTAACTGTAACGAATCTCTTCTGGCGGCTGTATAAGATCATATTCCCAAGAGGAAACTCAAGAGAAGGAATCCACTGCCTTGGATAAATGGGCCCATAATGAATTTAATAAAGAAAAAGGAATTCACGCGTAAGAAACTTAAGGAATCTCCATCAAGCTATTTGAGGTCCAAGCTTAGAGACCTGCGTTCCGCGGTCACGCGTAGAATACGCGAGGCACGTGACTCTTTTTTTCGGAAATAGAATCAGACTTCAGACTTCTGGTCGATCCTAAAATTAAAATCGAAACACAGAATGTTCCAGAAGTAATATCCACAGCAGATGAGGATGGGAGACGTATTTCAGCAACCTCGCTCAGCGAAATTGTTAAGTTGTTCAATCAGTACTTTGTGTCAGTCTTCACGCAAGATGTTGACATTTGCCGTCCTGATTGCGTGGATGAAGTCCTTGCTAATCCAGAGCTATGTGACTTGACATTTACAACCAACAAAGTCCTAGCTGTTTTGTCTAGTCTCGATGCCTGAACAAAGCTTCTGGCCCAGACAAAATTCCAGCTAGGATACTTAAGGAAACACCTCACGAGATTGCCCCTTCACTCTGTGAACTCTTCAATAAATCGCTTAGACTTGGCTCCCTCCCAACAAAATGGAAATTAGCTAACACAGTCCCTGTATATAAGAAGCACAATAAAGAATAAATTGAAAATTATCGACACATCTCACTACTCTGCTTAGTCTCTGAAGTTATGGAGCGTTGTTTGTTAAATGCTATTAAGGATCAAGTGTATAGCCTGGTCGGCAACTGCCAACATGGTTTCATGGCAAAGCCTTCGTGCATTGCGCAACTGGTCGAGGTGTTTGACCTTATTGGTTCTCAGTTGGACAAGGCGGGGCAAGTGGACATTATCTATTTAGATATGTCTAAGGCTTTCGATAAAGTAAGTCATTGCAAACTACTCACATTGCTGTAACAACGCGGTTTTGGCGGGAACTTACTGGCTTGGTTTGATTGTGTCTTCGGAGGCACTCCCTGTTACTTCAGGAGTTCCTCAAGGTTCAATCTTAGGCCCTATGCTGTTTCTCTTGTTTACGAATTCGCTGCCTGACATTGTGAAATCAAGTCTAGTCCAACCTTTGCTGATGACACAAGATTTGTAAAACCATCGTTACTCAAGAGGATTTATTGTTGCTGGCGGCTGACGTAAGGAACGTCAGCACCTGTTCATTTTCTGTTGGCCTTACCTTTAATGAGTCTAAATGTAAAGTGCAAAGGATAACTAGAAAGCTCAATCCTGTAACTGCCAGCTATGAATTGAATGAACGTTCCCTTAAAAACTCCACTGCGAAAAAAGACCTAGCTGTTGTCATTTCTGACAACCTCTCATGGGACAAACAGGTTTGTGCGGTCTGTTTAAAGTCTAACAGGATGTTAGATTTCGTCCGGCGTAACACTAGGTGTATTAAGAACGTGTCTGTAAAACGATCCATCTATTTAACGTTAGTGAGGTCCCACCTTAGGTACGGAATACAAGTGTGGGCCCATGGATCGATCGAACTGGTTTGCAAGATGGAACGGATTCAGCGACGAGCTTCAGAGTACATCCTCAATCTTCCATTTCATTGTCAACAATCATATAAGGACAGGCTTATTCAATTAAACCTACTTTCCCTGACACACTGTAATGAATATCTTGACATCTATCTTGCCGCAGACCTTGGACTATCTGTTGCTTGTTCTTTAAGTTCCTTTAAAGCTGTCCTTTACGGTTTTTACAAAAAAGCTCTTGTCGCTTCCTACATCCCTGATGACCCTCGCTCTTTCAAATCTGTATGCTTGACCTGTAACGCTGCCCATAATTTAGGACGGAACATCATCCGTTTCTTTTGATAGTATTGTAATTTTTACATTTTTAGTGACCTGTGTCATCTTGGGCCCACAGTAATTGGGGCTCGCTGTTGCAGTGTCCCCGCCTGTACTCCTGAGAATATATGTAATTTGTAAATTGATAATTTACAATGAGGTGTGGATGTGCGTCTGGTCTGTCCGTCTTATTGTCTCTTTTTTTCCTTACTGCTCGGCCGCTTGACAGCCAAAACTGCGGCAAATGGTTTCTAAAGATTCAGTGTCGCTTCCACCTCTCTTCTGACCAGGATGAGGGCATATTGGCTGTGGAAATTCGAGATTTGGATGCTTCATCGTTTCTGGCCTCGAGTAACTTCAAAGCTTGCGTTCCTCTGATGATACAGCCATTGTTACTGGATTCATGGAATTACAATAATGAAATGAATTTCTATCATGAAATCTCTCGCGGATACTATTTCCTGTTACGTCATCCTAAACTCCGCAGCTGCAGGGTATCAAACGACACAAACGTCCGTGCCTTTATTACTCTGGATCAAGCGCGACATTTCATCCTCTACTGATCGGTGATTTAGTATTTAAACTTAACCCGGGTCCCACAAGGATAATTGGAATACCGGCAATAGTGTCCTCGCGAAAGGATGATGTAAACAAGAATACAGTGGCCTCGACTTGTGTTCGTCGGAACATTAAAAATCTTATCAAGATTACTTGCCACAACAACCCTACTCTGTTACGACCACTGAATTTCTGCTTATGGAATTGCCAGTCCGTACGCAATAAAACTGCAGTTTTCCAAGAATATCTGTGCAGTAACAAGATTGCTGTATGTGCATTAACTGAGACTTGGCTATCCTCGGACGATGAGGCGGTTAGAGCTAAATGCACTCCTATTGGTTACATGCTTCACGATCAAATACGCTCTCACCGAGGTGGGGGTGGTATCGTTCTGTTGTCTCGCACAGAACTGTCCGTGACCCTTCACACTGCTGGGGAAAAGACCTCGTTTGAGTTTGCTGAATATATTGTCATCGCAGGAAACAACAAAGTCAAAGTAGCCATTATCTATCGGACACAGTACCCTGAAAAACACCCAGTAACGGTAGCCACCTTTCTCGGCGAATTTGCTGAATACCTCGAATCAATTGTGCTGTCATCTGAACGTCTCCTTATTGTAGGAGACATGAATATTCATGTGGACGTCTCAGATGATGCCGTCGCTATAAACTTTTTAGATCTCCTGGAGTGCATGGGACTAACACAACATATGATTAGACCAACTCACCGTTGTGGACACAGTTTAGACTTGATCATTACACGAGACCTGGATAGCCTTGTTCAGACCTCGCTCATCTCTGACAGTTTCTTGTCAGATCATTGCACTGTTCTATCTGAACTAACTCTCCGTATGCCGGCTACAACTGTTAAGGAGGTCTGCTACCGGAAGACTGAGGCTATTGACATTAAATCGTTCAAGGATGATCTCAGGAAATCGAGACTATCCCAGGACTCACCTGATGTTACGGTTCAAACATGACCAGCCTTTTAGATAAACATGCTCCACTTCAGAAGAAGACTATCACGGTTCGTCCGTGGGTTCCTTGGTTCAACAACGAAATCAAGGAAGCCAAGCGTTTACGTAGACGGAATGAAACAATACGGCGAAGGACAGGGCTCGAGTCAGACAGGGTAGAATTCATTAAGGCACGCAATCATGCAAATCACATGATGGAGCAAGCAAGGCGTGACTATTATTTCAATCTTATTCATGAAAACGATTGTGATCAGAGAAAGCTTTTCAAGACGACCAGTGCACTGATAGGAGGGTCGTCACAGGAACAATACCCCAAACACTCTGACCCTGCTATGCTTGCTAATGATTTTGGCAGATTCTTTACACAAAAGATCGATGACATTCGCTCAAAGCTGGATAGAATTGACCCCTCATCAAATCAGCCTGGCTACTCGATCAGGAGTAGCGTCCAAGAGCACTCGTATACTGGCACACCCTTCACTAACTTCGAGCCTATATTGTCTGAGGGTATCAAAAAACTGGTGCCGAATGCCCCAAACAAGACTTGCGACAATGACCCTATACCTACCAAGATTGTTAAAGACTGCATTAATGAACTCTTACCGACCATTTCCAACATGGTTAATCTTTCGCTCAGTAGTGGTCATTTTCCTGACATTGGGAAAGAGGGTTTAGTGAGACCAAAGTTAAAGAAAGTCAACGTGGACTTGATAAAGAAAAACTAACGGCCCGTCAGCAATCTTGCATTCCTTTCAAAGATCACTGAAAAGGAAGCTGCTCTACAATTCTCTGAGCATGTGTCATTCAATCAGATGTTTCCAGAATTTCAATCAGCCTACCGCAAATATCATAGTACGAAGACTGCCTTACTGCGCATGCGCAACGACATACTCGTCAGCATGAACAAAGAACAAGTCACATTACGAGTGTTCCTAGATCTAAGCGCTGCCTTGATACAGTAGACCATGATTATTGCAGCGCCCGGAATACAAATTTGGAATTAAAGATCAAGCAGTAACGTGTTTCAAATCCTATCTGTCGAATAGATCCCAGCGTATTGTAATCGGCAGTGCAAAGTCAGACAGTTTTGATCTGAAGTTTGGTGTGCCACAGGGCTCCTGTCACGGCCCAATGCTGTTCTCCCTTTACACTAGTGAGCTTTTTGATGTCATTAACCAGCACTTGCCAACAGCGCAAAGTTACGCCGATGATACCGGTATCTATTTGGCATTCAATCCAAACGATGATTGCGATCAAGACGCCGCCATTGCAGCAGTGGAAGCGTGCCTCTGTGACATCCGCAGCTGAATGATCAATGAAAAACTCATGATCAATGATTCCAAGACTGAGTTTATGCTCATTGGGACGAAGGCGCAGCTACAGAAAACTAAAAGCGCTACTTTAATTATTGGCGAATCCATCATCTCTCCCAGCACGGAACCCCTTAGAAACTTCGAGGCCTGGTTTGACTACCATTTCAACCTGAACTTTAATATAACCAAAACTTGTAGGAGGGCTTTTTTTCATCTACACAATATTAGACGCGTCAGAAAATATCTAAGCATAGAATCTGCCGAGAAATTAGTCCACGTTTTCATCACAAGCGGATCGGACTATTGTAACTCACTTTTATACGGACTACCCCACTGTGCCCTCATTAAACTGCAGCGTGTTCAAAACGCAGCTGCAAGAGTTCTATATCTAGCACCACGGTATTGCCATATCACACCAATATTACACGAATTATACTGGCTGCCTGTGACGGTTAGAATATATAATCACTTACAAAGCAATCCATGGAACAGCTCCTAATTATTTATCATCTCTCGTTAATTTTAAACCTAATTCTTCCTACAGCCTCAGATCAAATAACAAATATCTGCTTTCAAATGCAAACTTCAGGACTCTCCCTACTCTTGGTGACCGAGCCTTTGTAGCCGCCGCACCAAAACTGTGGAATATCTTCCGTTAGATCTTAGATGCACCTCCGATTTTGAAGTTTTTAAACGTAATTTGAAGACTCACCCTTTTAAAAAAGCCTTTTCTGATATAATGTTGTAACTCAAAGACTAGATAATTATTCATTCGTGTAATTTTAAATTGTAAGGCGCATTTGAAAACTGTATAGTTGAATTTGCGCGGTATAAATAAATGTTATCATTATTATTATTATGTACACTTTTTTTTGGCAGTTTCACTTATCTTATTGTTTGGCGAAGTTAATAAAATAAAACAGAGAAATTGATTCATTGGTGTGTAGACCAGATGCAAAATGCGGTATAAGCCATTCCGTAAACAAACGGAGCTTATTAGCGTCTAGCCGCTACATGTCTTTATATTGATAATTTATTAGTCCGTAGTAATTAAAAAGCGCGGTACAATGCTATAAATGTGGAAAAGCAAATAAAAGCTCAAATATACATAGTAATTAAAGCTAAAAAGTTAATAAAGCTATAAATTTAAATAAACCACTTGGTGCATTATGTTATAGGTTGAAAATATCACAAATCAAAGTACAAATAAAAAGGTGAGACTTAAAACGTTCAAAATTGACCTTACGATGGATGTGAAGGGGCAGATCATTTCATAAGTTTTGGGCCGCAGATAAAAAAGCGTGATCACCTGAAGTCTTTTTCATTTTTAAACTAAGATATTTCGAGATAAGACCATTAGCTGAACGGAGACTATAGCTTGGCTGTTCTTTAATAGTGATCACGTCACTCAAGTATCCAGGGGCCTGACCATAGATAGATATAAAAGTAAGAAAAAATACTTAAACCCGATATGAAATTTGACAGGAAGCCAGTGTAACGAACGCAGCGCAGGGGTTATGTTACTGTGGGTACATTAGCAGCTGCATTCTGCAGGCTGTTCACATACGCGAACAGCAAGTAAACCAAAAAATCTGAGAAAGCAAGTGATGTGGATCTGTTCCTGGAGATTCAAATTAAAGTCAAACCATGTCCCCAAATTTCTTGCTACAGAGATAGCAGCAACGTCAATGGTCCCTGTGGCAAGGCCATCAATATTCATTTTAGAGGGCTGTTGTTAAGTACAGCATGAACTAAGTTTTGCTGTCATTGAGTTTAAGCTTATCCGTAAGCATCCACGTACGAATGTCCGCCATACAATGCTCCATGACATCGACTGCATTACTGAGACTGATTAGTTGCGAAGGGCTAAACGACAAGGAAAGCTGCGTCATCAGCAGGGGCACTGTTTTTTATAATATTAATAATAATAATAATAACAATAATATAATAATAATATATACTTATATAGCGCCTTTCTCTTAGTGATCCAAAGCGCTTTACAACCAGTACGAATAGTAATAAACCTAATAAAATATTACGATGACTTAATTGTTAAAAAAAATAAAAAATAAAACAAAAACAAAAATAATAAATGAATGAATGAATGAATAATAACAATAATAACAATAATAAAAACAAACATGAAATTACAACTGAAAAGCACGCTTAAAAAGAAATGTTTTGATTTTTGATTTGAAAGCTTTCAGTTCACAACATGTGCGTAAACTCATTAGCATGGAATTCCATACCTTAGGAGCTGCGTATGAAAAAGCTCTGTAACCATAGGTTTTAAGGTTATAATTGGGCTGAACTAGGAGTCCTTTAGCTGCAGAACGCAGAGTTCTTGTTGGTCTATAACGAACTAACAGTTCTTCCATATAAGGCGGTGCTACATCATTAAGTGATTTAAATGTAAGAAGTAAAAGTTTAAAATCAATTCTTTCAGGAATAGGCAACCAATGGAGAGACCTTAAAATGGGTGAAATATGTTCACGTTTCCTAGTACCAGTTAAAAGACGTGCGGCAGAATTTTGCGCAAGCTGAAGTTTGTTAATATGATCCTGTCGAAGCCCAGGCAAGAGAGTTACAGTACTCCATTTTTGACGTAATAAATGCATGTATTAAAATCTTGCAGTGAGTAGACGATATATATTTCCTAATTTTAGCGATATTGCGCAGATGGAAGAACTATTCCGATTTGCAGACTGCTTTCGCTTGTTTGTCTACTGATAGAAATTCATCGAACCAGACCCCTATGTTCTTTGCGGCATGTGAAGCATGCATCACGTCACGGCAAACTGTAATAGACTCCAGTGGAGGACGAGAACGATGGCAAGCATTGAGTACAAGGAGTTGTCTTGTCACTGTTCAGCATCAACTTGTTTGCTGTCATCCAGTTGGTAATATCGCTGATGCATGACTGAATGCGAGACAGTGAGTGCATTGGTTCTCCACTAGCCTTTGGGTTAAACGAGAGGTATATCTGCGTGTCGTCGGCAAAGAAGTGAAAGTTTAAGCCATGTTGTCTAATTATGTCTGCAAGGGGTGCAGTGTACATAGAATATAGGATAGGACCGAGCACCGAACCTTGGGGGACATCGCAGAGAAGCTTTCGATTGGTGGAGTGCTCATTTGCCACTGTGACAGATTGGGTGCGGTCCGTCAAGTAGGACGTTAACCAAGATAAGGCCTTTCCGGTGATTCCGAAACGATGTTCAAGTCTACCAAGTAGAATGTCATAATCTACCGTGTCGAAAGCAGCGGAAAGATCCAGTAACACGAGTATGACGCAACTATTGTCGTCGATTGCGAGTAAAATGTCATTGTGAATACGAGTGAGAGCTGTTTCAGTGCTATGACGTCCCATTCAATAAGCTGATTGAAACATCTCATGTAGATTGTTATTGACAAGATTTTGATTAAGGCGTACAGCTACTACCCTTTCAGTTGCTTTAGACACAAATCTTAAATTTGAGATGGGTTGAGATTACTTCAAAAAGTTTGCTAAAAGTAGATGGTAAAAAGCAGCGGCTCCAAACACGATCCTTGAGGAGCTTGAGCTAACCGCCGGTTGGACAAGTCGTGAATGTAGATGCGTACCATTTATACTGGGTGCTCGCTTCTTAAACAAGCCGCGGCCAGAGGGAGCCGCGGCTTATTTTCTCTCGGATAAATGGCCATATTGCGGTCAACAGTGTCGAAGGATGCACTCAAATCAAGGAGAACTAAAAGGGTTACATGCTTGCAGTTTATATTCATAAGAATGTTACTCTGTGAATTTGGTTGAAAACTGCACGTTCCGTCAGTTTTGATATGAAGTGTAAGTTGATGACGGGGCGGAGGTTATTCAACTTCGTCGGATTTAAGCCAGGCTTCTTAAGGATCGGGATAACCACAGCTTCTTTTCTACATCAATATTTAAAAAACGAATCAACAACTTCGATCTTTCACCAGATTTGGAGCCAAGTTATGGAATAGCATCCCCCCTGACATACACCAATATCCAAAAAACCCTTCAAAAATTATGTTCACGAATTTATGCTCTGTCTTACAAACTGAGGACGTTTACGTTGAAGCAAAAGAAATAAAACCTAGAGACTTTTTTAATCGACCGTAGGATTTTAAAAATAGTGGAATTCTTGCTATAAGCAATGCGCAGTGAAAAAATGCACACACAAAACTGTCACTTCCGTAAACATTTAACTAATGCGTAATTCCATTACGACATTTGTGTGCAGGAAGATTTCAGCAATAGTTACGGAACATTAAAACATTGCTTGTGACCGCCCAACAAACCTCTGCTTTGTGTCATGGGGTGGATTTATTTGTAACATACCCATATTGCATTTGCCCCACAACAGTAGGAATTTCCAATGGGTGAAAGTGAAAGACAGAGAAAAAGAGCGACAGAGAGCTAGAGCGAGAGATAAAAGACAAAGGAGACATTTTTGGCGACAAGAACAACATGAAAATTTTGTTGCGGTGGTGAGAAAATGAGAAATGTTAGCGGCCACTAAGGTGCTATTCGTGAAAATGAGCCGCAGTGAAAAAAGAGTGAACATGAAGCTCCTTCAGGTCATTATTCTCTACCCACATTTTTTTCAACCTTGGCACAAAAAGATGGGGTCAACGTGGCTGTTTCCACCCGTTATTCTCAGTGTTTTTTCCTAGTTACTTGCAAAATATTCGAAACTTGAGCGAACGTCGAAACTCATCGTACAGCAAAATCTATGAATCTTGATAAAACCTTGAATCCGTTTGTTTGTCTTGGCCATAGTTTTTCGGTAAAGTGACTTCAAATTACCCATTCTCGTAAAATCTAAGAAAAATGGACAGTTTCAACATTATCTCATAAGTTTCATGTCATTAATACCTTTGTTACCCATCTTTGTGCGCGGTAGGTGATGGGCAGTACAAAACAAGGGAATTACCTCAAAACTGATTTATACAAGAGAAAGGCTCTTCTCAGGTTAAGGTTTGCTTATAACAGGTCTACCCAGACACAGGCTTATTCCATGGTTAGGGCTATTCATAATACGTCTACTCTGGAAGTGCCTTGTAGAACTCGAAGTAAAGTCAAATTATTAACTTAACTATAGCTGCGAGAATGTTCTTTTTTCTGTTGGTGATAGAAGCCACTCGAAAAAAAAATTCCGAGTTCTCTCAACGGGAGTCGCACGATGAAACGCCTCGCGTTCCTTTCGATTCACTGTTGAACTGAGACAAGTAAGCCGTGACTGCTCACTGAGTAGATGTACCACTATCTATGCTCAGTATACCAAGTAAATTAATGGCATCCTGTGTTGCAAGTAATATCACTAATCACGTGGTTACGCAAAATTTACTTGAAGATAGGCAATGGGCTTATAAGAAGGGATAGTCAGCAAGCCAAGATTTTTTTCAGGCTTTTTTTTTTCGCAACTGCATCAGTTGCGTTTCTTAGTTGCGTATATAACTGCGATGATCATCCTTCATTTAATTCTTCACTCTGCAGTTCACACATATGATTTTCATATATTCATACTGACTTTATCATCACCCTTTCATGGGTTTATAACGAACCAATTCAACGACCTGCTCCCAGTTGGCTTGTTGGCTTAATTGGTAGGGGCTGCACCGGTATCGCACAGGACAAGGGATCCTGTACAAGCCAATATTTTTTTTTTTCAGGCTTTCTTTTCGCTACTGCTTTTAAGTTACATATATAACTTCGATGGTCACCCTTCATTTAATTCTTCACTCCGCAGTTCACATACATGATTTTCATATATTCATAACTTCAGAACAGCTTTTAATACATCTAACAGAGAGGTGGAGAGAAGCAGTAGAAAGAATTAGCTTTTTGTGGGAATACTGTTTGCCGATTTCACTAAAGCTTTTGACACCGTGTCGAACAACATATTACTACAAAGGCTGAACGACCAACGAATCAGAGGAGATATCTGGCTGCGGTTAAAGAACTTCCTCACAGAACGAAGACAATTCGTCAGAATCAACAGATGCGACTCCTATACACACATTATAACTCACGGAATGCCAGACCCACCTTATTCTCGCTCTTTACAAACGACCTTCCAAAATCACTACGTTCTGCGGAAACCTTTCTGTAGCAGAAAAACGACACAACAATATATTGTATCGCAGAAACGATGGATTTGCTAACAAACACACTTAACCATGTCCTAGTTGAGCTCCAGGACTGGCGCGACAGGACGTTGATGGTATCACACCCAGAAAAATGTAAAGCAATGATCATGCAGCGGAAATCAACATTCACTGACTCTTCGTCTTGGCAACAACATCATTAAGTGGATAACCTCAGAAAGACTCCTTCAGACCATGCTGCAAATGTAGCGAAGTTCTTTGCATCCAAGTTAAGTTAACACGCACTTAAACAACCTGGAGAAACTCCACGCAAGGGCTGGACGAATTGTATATGGATTGCCATGGGACACTAGCGCTGAAGATGTCTTAACGCGAACCGGATGGGACAGTTTGGAAACAATGTACAACGTGCAATTAGCGGAGTTTGTCTTCAAAAGTATTAAAGGTTACACTGTCACGGAATTTAAAGACTTGTTTTTACAGGGGAATTCAGGGCGTAGAAGAAATGACGACATCATTCTTCCAAGACTAGAAACGAATTTTATCAGAAACTCCATAGGTTACAGAGGAGCAATCGCATGGAACAGTTTAATGAAAAAGGAAATAACAGCTAAAACCTCGAAAGTATTTAAACGCTGTCATGCAAATTTTGACACTGATAAAATGAATTTCGAACCTATTTTAGCTACAACTAAAAACAGAGATATCGGTTACAAATATTTTTAACAGTTTTCAATCTTTAATTGCGCATACTTTAATCGTAACTGATGTAAGCACGACACCACCAGCAGTGCTAATCTTCTTATTGTGCTAAAACAAAGCTCTTTTCTTTTTACTGGTGACTTCCATGGGAGTTACGAGCACATGTACAATGTACCTACCTTGATGCGTCTGTGTCTAGGCCGCTGAGTGAATCCTGATCCTCTTTGGTAAAATGACTCTCCAGTACGTTTTCAGCTTCATGAACATTAGTCACCTCTGAGCTCTTGAGCAGCATGAGAGCATTTTGAAGACACAGCGAGGCAAACGCCAGAGTACAGGCCGGCATAGCAGCTGATTGAACTTTGCTCTCTCTGTACATATCAAAATAACTACCTCACTTCATTATTGTTTCTAATCACTAGCAAGTCACTGATTCGAACGAGTCAGATCACTTTTTGGCACTTTTCTTGGCCTATTATCAGTGTGCTTTCAAACATTTGAAGAGTACGTAAAGGCCACTATTTTCAGAGAAGACTTTTCCCTTAGACTTGTTTCAGTCATTTCCGAATGTTTGCTTGATTATCATGTAAAATAAAGGTAAAGAACACTCAAGCCACAGAAGGCCAACATGATAAAATTTGCTTGAGACAGCCATTACTTAGAGCTGCAAATCCATTCAAGAACTTCTTTGCCACGAAAACTTTCTCAACTTCCTGTAACATAGGTTACATTTGGGGTAGAAACAGGCAGTCATGTAGTATTTGACAAATTTCACTTTCCATTTTCCCGTGCAACTTGCTACTTACAAATCATAGTAAAATGCCAGCAAAATATGTAAGAACAGACATTGACAGACATCTTTCATTGCAACACATTCATTTACGAGACACTCTTAAAAATGTGACATTTTTAACATGATGGCCGGTTTTAATTGCCTAAGTAACTTAAATTATTCACTTTTACCACTTGTGAGGCTTCGAGAACATACATTCTAGGAAGCTTTAGTGTCATTAAACACTTGAGCTCCTTGAGCGAATCTTTACTGTGCGTTACTAAAAAAGCACAAGAGCTACTTCAAAAGAAGCAGAAAGGAGAAGAAAATGAAAGAACCCTACTCTGTATTGCACTGTTTGTCAGTGGTCTGAGGTGACAGCACGATCTTTCGATGAGGCCCAGATCCAACTACATCATGAACAACGTCACTTTTCCTGATGCACTGCTGGCGAAAGTCATCGGCCTTCAAGAAAAAAGGTCAGCAGAGTGCAAACAGGCGACATAATTACCGGTATTGCAAGCAACAATCTGACTGGCAGTCATGTTAGTTTATAGACTTGGTTTTAAGACACTCATTACAATCGCAGTTACTAGAATAAAAGTTGAAAAAAAACCAAAAAAAACCCAAGAAACTCACTAATTTCGTATCCTAACTGAGTGCACTTAACCGTTTTCATAATCCCTGTGCCCAAGAAACACGCTAGCCAACCATAATATCTTCTATCTTGACGTGCGATGCATCGACAAATTCAGAAGTCAACTGATACAAAAATTGTAATTTATTTTAAAGTTCAGGGGATTTCAAAGTATCTCGTAGTTCCACAAGCAGCCCAGACGCACTGTATGTAAATATTTCAAAATACTTTGCTGTTCCTGGCAGAAGGTGATATTCAGCTAATCGTACGTAAGCTTTCTTTTGATATTTTGAATTTTAGGCTCGAATTTTGGTACAGGCTTTGGTACAAGCTTTGGATGTAGCGGTCCATATACACATCGGAGGGTCGAATGCCATGAAAAACAGATAACAGTGGAAATTTCAGTTGCAATGGAGCCACGACAAATAAAAGGACAATGATATAATGGTAAAAGACATGCTTTATTTGGAAGTATTACAAATTCTTGACTCATCTTCAGTAAAATATAGTCGACTCTCCAGCTCCGATCCTCTTTTGTCGTTCTATGATGTATTTTAAATTATTGACAGACAGTTTGTCTGGGCTGCCTGTGGTAGTTCTATTTATTTTTTGCTTTACAAACATTAACGTAAATTAATGAACTAAAAGCCAGGACAAAGTTAAGACTGTGCAACAATGATGCAATGTACTCACCAGTTGAAAGGCTACAATGCAGCACTCTGCTAACCTAAGCCAAAGGCGAGGGTTTGTATGGTAAATTTGGACAGCTTCAACCAGACAGTCGAAAGCTACAACAGGTCGACCGGAGAACAGCAGCTGGATTCCCAGATTGTAAAGAATCTCATGACGATGGCTAACACCAAGAGACACAAGAGGGCGACTAGATAGAGGGACATCTAGGGGAATAACATTCCAAACAAAACCCGTTTCAGAATGGCACACCAAAAGTTTGCTTCCATTCTATCATTAAGTGGTTATTTAAAACTAAAACTTTGTCAAAGAAGTCTATGTGCAGCTTTCAGTCAAATGCTTTAAGAACCCAACGCTTTGCTCGCTTCAACGTGTGATTTTAGAAAGTCTAGTGGCAATCAAAAGAGATTAAAATCATGAAGCAGCATCTAAACATAAGTTATCTGAGATATGACTGGTTCAGGGTGAGTGAAAAGAGAACATTCATACGAAATAGTACTGCGGGTAAATACTTCACCATAGTTGCCACAGCCAGAAGATTTTGAAATTCCATGACTTTTCCCTGAGAAATGTAAAATTTCCCTGACCAACTGAATAAACCATTTCACAAATTAGTCCTGATAACGCACTCACCCTCACAGCATCCTCTCCACCCATTTATTTATGCTTTCAGCAAGTCACGTGCAGGGTACATGAATTGATAGTTCCTTAACATAACTTGTCGTTCAATTTAAAGAACAATAATATACCAAGACAACATGATTCATGACCGTAAAATGTACAAAAGAATTTAAAATGTTAGAAAACAGCAAAGATAGAGCGAAAAGAAAAAATATGTACTCTTAAAACTTCCCTTTTTCCTGACCTCTTTCAAAGACATAAATTTTCCCTGACTCGAAGTGAAATTCCCTGACTTTTCCCTGGCCTTGAAGATTTTTTCTCTGACCATTTCCTGACCTGTGGCAACCATGATTCACAGGTTTACGCAATTAAAAATTAAGATGAACACAGCCCATGCAACACAAGAAACGTTTAAGACGAACAGACATACTCTTGTCAATTAGGGGAAGTGAGGAAAGAGCTTTGTTATTTTCCTGCAGAGCCTTTCTGAAGTAAAATGCAGCCAAATTGTACTTCTGGAGTTGAAAGTGAATACATCCTAGGTCGTTGAAGTACATTGTGGTAGCAGACTGTCCTCGCACTGCAACATTATTTGGTTTAGGAGCGCTGTTCAAAAGCTTGATGGACTTGCGATAGTTCTGGCGCAGGTACTCAAAGTTACTTTTCAGAAAGAGACCCTCTGGTGCCTAAAATAGCAGGGTTTTGTTTTAATAGTAATATATTAAGTAAATAATGATAATACATTCACATGTTAGTCCTGTTACTTTAAACATAGTTAATTGAGTGGAATGGTTATGAAACCCGTCAGACTCCTTTGTTATATGTTTTTGTGGACCTGAAAGTGCACAACGCTCAAAAGAATTCCTATCATTTTGATTGTATTGACCAATAAAAACGTTGCATTAATTTATTCCGTAACAATTTGCCAACAGAAAACAAAGGATTGTGCACTTTCACGGTGCTTTGAACATAAACTGCCGCACTGTTGTTTTTATCATTGATGTTTGCCGCTTTTCATAACCAGTCTCCTCTAATAACTATGCTTTAAAATAATTGGATATTAAGAAATCTTTGTGTTCCGTTCGAAATTCTGGAAACTTACGGGCTAATTGACGTTATTAAAAGTCACGATTAAATAAACTTGACAGAGCAATTTTATTTAATGCAGACACCCTTTTTTTGTTTTCTATTTAGTTAAGTCACTCTTTGGGCAAAACGTGGGCTTTGTGTAATTCAACTTTTTGCTCTTGGTGTCGCTGTTCATGTTATTTTAGAAATGACCTCCTGCGTACTGTATAGCTGCGCGAGTCGTATACAACAAAAACAGTTACAACAACAGATAAAATTAAAAAAATCTGTTTCAGGTCTGAAGTGCCAATTCAGCCCTGAAGGCCTACATATAAGTCTGATTCAGCCTTCTCTGGCGCTATTTGAGCACAAAGCCTATTCCAGCACCTGGTGGGACTCATTTCACCCCGTGCGTCCAAATCAGCCCTAGGTAATTGGAGTGTATTGATCCTGATTAAAGGAGCCAAATTAGAACCAAAAATAGGACTGTATTTTACTCACCGAAACAGTCCCATTTTTAGGGCTAAATCATACAGTGAACAAACTTAGGTATTCTCATATTTATATACACCCTACGTGATATTACCTAGAGGGAAACTATTCAGGCTAAGTCTACACAATATTTCGGATAGGGCAAAGATTTCGGAGCGGTTTCTTTGGTTTTCTGCGCCAATCTTGAAAGTGTATCGTCACGTACCTGATAGGTTTCTGTGGTATTCTTTGCCGCACTGTGAACTGGTGTTCATACTATGCCGGATAGCTTTTTATGTTGGCACGAATAGCCATGAATGAATGGCCGGGATGGTGTAGACGAAGCCTCAGAATAGGCGAGAACATCGACAATACATTTTTGAAGAAAATTTTGGCGAAAACAAGTATGACATTATCTAATATTTACTTCAGTCAAAAATAATGCTCACCACACTTGTTGTATTCAGAACCGTTTTGATTTCTCGTTTGCAGGCTTTCATTGACTTCAACAGGATATTCAGTCGTGCTTTATGCTACAACAAAACAAATTCTTGTCATTCTCACGAAGGCCTGTGTTGGGCTAACCCGTTGCATTGAAGTGTAAAACTGAAGAGGTCCAAACTGATGTACGTTATACAGCTGCATACCTGATGAAAGTTCAGTTTCAAGGATTCATCCACTTCCTTAATGGGCTGTAGTGCTGCAGCTGCGGACTGGCCACCTGGTCCAAGCTGTGCTTGTAATCCACCTTGAATAATCTGTGAATGCTAATCACATGAAATTATTCAGTTCAATCACCAAGATTAGGGACCTAATAAAACTCACCGGGTTAGTAAAAGGGACATCAAAAAACTGTTCGATTGCAGTCAAACGTCTGAGGAGTTTTTTTTTTCTTTAATTAAATTTTGCTTTCTAATAAGTGCGAACAATGGGCAAGGACTGTTTAAAACATCAATTACTGAAACAAAAACATTACGCTTAGTCAGCAAAACAGCAATTCTGCGTGTGCATCATGCTCTTCAGTAAAACAACGGTGACACGCCAATGGCAGCGAAAACTTCACCCAAAAAGTGAATTCACACTGTTTGAAACGGCCTCATCGCTCTTATTCCAGGAGTTGAACTCTAAAGGACTCTATCTAAGTTCACGGAAAGAAAATAAAAGTCGTTGTCTTGTATTCCCGTCCTGCATAAAACGTGAAAAAAAAGACCTCCATAGTGGGGGCTCATTGGGCTGCCGACTGCGCGATGCAGTGGCTTTTAAAAACAGTCTTGAAGTATTGATTATAGATTACAGATTGAGTGTATACCTACTTCTAACTGGTGGAATGGAATAGAGATATTTATACACAAAGCCTTTTGAAACAAGAGACAATTGACATTATTTTTAACTGGGACATTTTGGTAAGCCATCCGCCATTTTGTCTTTTTTCGAAGGAGAAAGCTCATTCCATAATTGGGCACCACATGCAGCCCAGCCTCATGCACGTGTAGACTGTTTGTTTTGCTCATCTAAACTCATAGTCTCATTGCCGTTTTCGTTGCCATCAATGTCACCATTGCTTAAGCTCCCTAACGACCTTAAGTGACGCCTCTTCTGCTTCGCTTTATGCAACTTTCAACTCCGTTTATAGCTAAAGCAGCAGTTTTCTCTAGGTGCACAGTAATTACCTCCAATGGTTTGGCTGAGCCAAATATCATGTTCTCCAACACTGAGAGTACATTATGAACTTTGTCCACCTAAATTGGTGAGAATTAACAATGGAAAAAAAATTACACTCAATAAAACCTCTTGTCACTTGTGTTAGTTGTTGATTTCCTAAGCACAATGAACCATATTTTGCACTGCGCATAGGTTGTACATTCTAGTGCAAAAATCATAGATAGAGCATTGCGTCCGGTCATTGCAAAGTTCAGGGTTCGATTTCCAGAAAAGCAGGTTCTTCTACAACCCCTTAGGGTGCTCATTCTGCTGCGAAAATCATGTTCGTTTCATTTCTTTACCTGCAGTTTTAAATATGATTCAGTTCATATATTTCAATTCATATATATATGTAACTTAGCAAAGGAAAATACCATATAAAGTATCTAGAATTAAGTTTGTGATTGTACTTCTTTGATGTTCAGCACCTATTTGCGTGAAATTCTGTAACATCATCTACTCTTTTTTGGAAAAATCATTTCTTGAATTGTGCTTGCCTCAGTCTATTCTCCAATAATGTTATCACTGTGGGATGAGATATGCAAATAAGCTACTCACTTGGGTTTTGTATGGTGATCGGTTCACCCCCAATTCGCCTGATATGAAAACGAAATGTCGTCATTGTTGCCGAAGTGTACTTTAGGCAACTCTGGGGCGGTTCAGGCGTGCATTCGCTCACGTCACCTCGTAAGAGAACCCTGGGAACTAGGTTGTCATGGTCACGTTCTTGTCACGAAAGCGGAACAGTCAACACTCGATTCTATCAGTTCTGTAGGTCGTGTATATATGTTACAGTTAATTTTTTATTCCACTGAATTTTTGTTTTTCCTTTGTTTGAAGTTCATTAACATACAATAACATACCCAAAAACAATACAAAAATAAAAATTAACTGAGTCAAAAAATAAATGTAACATATACATTGTACACTGCGAGCATCTCGATCATAAGCATCGCTAGGACGGTTTAAATTTTCAGTAGCATGACAAGGGAGATTGTTGCCGATAAATCGTGATATTAACGTGATTGTTTCAGCCCCAAACTTCTAAAACTTCGCAGGGTGATCTCCAGAGGGGCTCTCTAAATGGATTACAGTCTGCGCCAAAAGTCGTTTCACACTGAAAATCAGCTAATTATGCGTAGGGATGGATAAATTCTCAGACAGTGAGGCCACTTCTCGACTAACAGTCTAAAATATTACTGTCAACAAGAGAAGAGACATAAGATGTATGGCTCTTTAATACTTGAATCGGGATACTCTTAAAACAGTGTACACCATACTAGGAGATAAAAATAAATAAATAAATAAATATATAAATAAATAATAATTATGGAAAAAAGAAAAATTTACATGTCAAGTCTAAAATAGATATCCACATTATAAAATTACTATTTTCAAGATTTTACCTTCTCTAAAATTTAATATTACAATAACCTAATCATGGAATTTATTGTGGGCATTATACCATTAGTGAAGGGAAAAATATCAGTGGTTACAGGTAACGTATTCCCGGCTACTATTGAGCAGACGTTACAACTGGATTGAATATAACGGAAAGGGAATACATTGGGGGCTTGAGAAGCCCTTGTTAGTGAACATACTTCAGATGGAAGGGAGATACCAACTAAACCTTGTTGGATTTTATAAAACATTGATAATTGGTACGAAAGTCTGCGTTGTTCAAGAGTGTCCCAACCAAACTGTTTTTACATGGGAGTAACATGACTATAATTTGAGTAGTCTCCAAAAACGAACCTTGCTGCTCTATGCTGAACTAGTTCGATTTGGTGAATATTCCGTTTAGTATACAGGTTCCACACAGAGCAAGCATACTCTAGTTGGGCACACACAACAGTAATCCGACAACACCCTTCTCAGAAGACTAAGCGTGCTTACTACAAATATTATCACAACGTTGATTCCAATTAAGATTATAAGTTGTAGTTACTCCAAGATATTTGGTGATTTAGCAATAACAATATCATTCATAAGATAACTATAGGAAAAGGGGACAACCTTATTAGTAATCCCTAAGTGATAACATTCAGTGACATTAAAGTTTAGTTGCTACAATGTAGGTTTCAGCCCATTCACATAAGCTGGTTAAGTCCTACTGGAGCAGTACATGATCACAAGTATTCTTAATCTCTCTTTACACAATGCTGTCATCTGCAAAGAGACGCATTGTTGACTGGATGTGATCAGTTATTTCGTTAATACATAGTTAGGATAAAACAGGTCAAGGTACTGAGCCTTGGGGTACAGCAGAAGGTACAGGCCGAGGGCTGGAGTGTCATTTACAGACACCACTTGGGAGCGATTGCCTAAGAAGACCTTGATCCACGCCGCAGTCTTTCCACATATTCCATAATAATCCAGTTTTAATAGTAGACGCTGATGAGGTATAGAGTCAAAGGCTTTGCTGAAGTCAAGAAGGATTACGTGAGCGCGAGTTAATGCATTTAGCCCAGTCATTGATTGCTGAAGTTGAATTTCACACGAGAGGCGTTGTCTAAATCCATGTTCCTGATCGATCAGGATATTGTTTGCGGCCAAGTGTTTTGCAATGTGACTCACAATAATGTGTTCCATAACCTTACAACATAAGGAAGTAAGAGAAATAGGGCGATAATTAGCAGGGTTTGACTTTGAATCCTTTTTATGAATAGCTGTAACCAGGGCTTTAGTCCAGTCAGAGGGTACTGCTCCTGTGTCAAAGGACTGTTGGAATATAGAACTAAGCCAAGGTGCAATAGATGGGGCTAGTTCTTGAAGAACACGGGCTGGAATTTCATCCGGACCACAAGCTTTTCTTGGGTTTAATTGAAGACGTTATTTATGTACCCAATGAGCTGAGATGTCGATGTCAGAAATTAGGTTGTACGGGGAGGTAGGTTAATTAGGGATTGGTAGTTTCTCGCGAGTAAACACTGAGTAGAGACAGGAATTAAGTGCATCATCCATCCATGCTTGAGATCATGGTCAGGATTCTTTGGCTCGAAAATTAAATTAAATACTATTGTTTATAATGTTGCGTTGTTTTTCGCTTATTTTTCGCTGAGAGGTTATTTGCAATAGTAGTGTCGGGATACGCTATATCCTGCAATTTTTATTCCATTTGAAAAATAAGGTACTCATTTTCAATAATGAATTCGCCTCAGAATAGTAAGCTCATATTCAAAAACCATTTTGATGCGCGCCTTCCCACTTGTTTACTCAAGAGAATCTCAAACTTAGTGTGTATCTCGAATAGTTCTCGGTAATATTTCCCTTTACAGTGAATCCCATTCTTTCATAGCTGATAATCCTGGGAATTCAACAAGGCGTTGAAATATACTCATATACAACCTTCTGTACCTTCCATCAGTTGTTTTCATTATAAAAAACGTAGCACAAAAGTCGCTTGCTTCACGAGTAGTTCCAGTAGCCTGAGTAGCATGCAGTTTTTTTGGTGTGTTTTTCGTTTGCAGTTCGTAAAGTATACACAGGAGCGCTAAAGTTACCTGAAACCAGGCCCAATTTTAGTAGCTTTCATATGAAAATAGAGCCTGATCTCAGGTTATGCGAAAGCTGAACTGAGTTCAACAATAAGGGATGGGGCGAGGGGATGAAGGCAGAAAACCTTGGTTTCGCCCGCCTGTATATCTTACTTTGCGAACTACAAACGAAAAACACGCCAAAATACAGCTTGCATTTTTAGAGGGTCGTACAGGGGGGGTCTCTCGCACGGTTCACGAACAGAAAAAACAGCGAATCACGGATCTCGGCTATCAAAATTTCATTTTCCCGAATCACGAAAATAAACAAGAAAGGTACTCGTTTTAATAACCTCTTACGGTAGAAAGAGTGTTTGAAGAAAGCAAAATCGTTAAACGCCAAGTAAAGGCTGCTTATCGGAAATCACATACCTAAATCACTCTCGATGGACGACTCTGACCATTCGTCCACTTCGCGTTGTAACTGCCCGAAGAAACAACAAATCGTCTAGAGAATCTACCTCGTAATTGTCAGCAATAGGATATTCAGCGTCTGAGTCAGTGTCATACTCTTCCTCCTCTTCTACCTCGGCTTCCTCTACTACTTGAACATCTTCAATGGCGTCGTGCGATGCAAAAGGCGCAACAGTCGTAACGGTCGTAGCAGAAGTAACAGTCTCCTCTTCGACAGTGTTAGGGCTGAATGAGACTTTATCTTTAGGATAGTCTGATGTTCTGTACATGTTTAACGGCAATGTTCCGGCCTTGAACATGGTGGTCTCCATGTCTCGGATGTTTCGATGTTTTGGATCACTGTCCTTTGACCTCCAGATCCAGTGGCATAGGAGACCATAGGCATAGGAATAGACATCTGATCCATAATAGGCATGATAGTCATGATAGGCATGTAAAGCACGTGAATTTGCAGAATGGATTACTTTAATTAAAGCGAAGTCTGTTACTTGTCACATGCACTCGCATCTCAAAATCACGCCAAATAGAGTGGTGAAATCACGAATATCGGTTAATAATTCAAGTTCTTCACGGGTCACGCAAAACCTTCAGATCACGGATCACGAAGAATAAATTATTAAATTCACGTTTCACGGAAAATAAAATCAGCCAATCACGCATCACGGGAATACCCCTGTACGACCCTCTTTTTAGTACAACAAAAAATATTGTAGCTAGATTACCAAAGTGGCCATTTTTAGAAAATGAACTCTTGAATAAGGGAAGGGTGTTTTGAGAGGAACATGATCATTTCAACTTGAAATAAATACTTTATTTTATCGCATGAATTATTTTTTTTAAACTACGAGTTCCCCACAGTTTTTACTTTGATAATATGTTTGCTTTTACAAACACTACACGCATTGTCATTAATTAAAGAGCCATAACGTACAACAAATTCCATAGAGTAGCAGATCTTATTAGAATTCTTCCCAATACTGAAACAATTTGCCAGACTCAGTTAAACAGAGTAAGCAAATTATTCATTTTCGTAAAGGAATAAGTAACTTTGCTTATCTACATCTACAGAAAATTTAAATTCCTACCCATCACTGCAAGATAAAACTAATGAATAAATGATAAAATTCCAAAAAACAAATAATGATATTATAACAATAAATAACTAACAACATAAATAAGTAAATGCATAATAAAAAATTGAATTGAGCTTACAGATAGTCAAATAAATAAATAATAAATAAATAGTAGGTAGATGAAAAAATAAAAAATAAAAAATTGGACATCGACATAAAAACTAACAATATTAATGTAGTAAATGTCATTTACTAGTTAATATCTTTAATTACTCTAATCTAATCTAAGTGCTTTCTGAAATAATTGGGTTTTCTCTATATCTAAAACATTGCTGGGCAATGAATTCCATTCCTTTAAAGTCCTGCAATTAACATAACATAACATAACATACATGTTTATTCAAACTCATAATGACCACATGAATTTGAAAGGGAGAGTCTAGAGGTTAACCCTATGAATAAAACTCTCCTAAAAACAACACACAATAAAAATTACAATAAAAATTACAACTTTAAAAAGGATTTGAGTTTACATTTAAAAAGTTCAAGGGAACCGGCTTCAACAACATTACTAGGTAAATTGTTCCAGTAACTAATTACATTGTTAAAAAAAGAATATTTAAAACAGTTGATTCTAGATAATTTACAATAAAGCTTATACGAGTGATTTGCCCTAGTGGATTTGACTTTTGCGAATTGAAAGAATTCCTCAAAATCCAAGTGTAATAAGCCAAACACGATCTTATAACATTCAACAAGAGAGGAATATGTCCTACGACTGGACAAAGATGGCCAATGTAACGAGTCACAACGCTCTTCATAAGACATATCACCTCTTTTTTGCCTAAGAGCTTATCTTGACGCGCGTCTTTGCACGCTCTCTATTGCATGAATATCTTTGACAAGATATGGGTTCCAGACTGGAGCAGCATACTCTAGAAGTGGTCTGACCAATGTTTTGTAAAGCAATGAAAAAGTTGTTGTATTAGCTGTTCCAACAGACCGTCTTATTAGCCCTAGGACTTGGTTCGCCTTATTCACCATGGTACTAATATGTTCACTCCAAGTAAGATCTTTTGATATAATAATTCCAAGATCTTTAAAGCTCTTGACATCTTTTAAGGCCGTACCTAGTTTATAATTCGTAGTCGATTTGTCACGAGAATGCGTTATTCGCATTGCTTCACACTTTTCCTCATTGAAACGAAGTTGCCATTTTTTTCGCCCATTTACCAAGATTATTCAAATCAGTTTGAAGGTATTGTTCATCGAGACTAGGGTTGCGAAGCTCTCTGTAAATCTTAGTGTCATCCGCAAATAATTTAATTTTTGAAGAGACACTATCAACGATATCATTTATATATGATAGGAATAAAATTGGACCAAGAATAGTTCCTGTGGGGTACCAGATATCACAGGTGCCCAATCAGAAAAAGTCCCTCTTACAACAACTCGTTGCTTTCTACACGTGAGGAAATGCCTCAACCAGTTAAGAAGTTTACTCTCAATACCGAGGCTATATAACTTTATGAGTAGACGCTCATGAGGAACACTATCAAAAGCCTTTGCGAGATCAAGAAATACAACATCTGTTGCTACAGATGAATTCCTAGATTTGGCGAAGTCATGAAAAGTAGAGAGTAATTGGGTCACAGTAGACCTACCCTGCAAAAAAAAACCAAATTGGTTTTTTGTTTATCACGTTATGGTCTTGCCAAAATGACGTTAACCTATCGCGTACGATTTTTTCGCTGATTTTGCATATCATGGATGTAAGCGAAATTGGACGATAATTCTCCCTCAAGTGTTTAGAACCTTTCTTATGAAGTGGGACAATGTCAGCTGATCTCCAATCTTCGGGCAAATGGCCCAGCAGGAAAGATTTGTTAACCAGAAATGAGATCGAGGGCGCCAATTCGAACGCACATGATTTTAAAATTACTGGTGAAATTCTGTCTGGACCCGGGGACTTGTTCGTTTTAAGAGACTTAAGATGCTTTAAAATTTCCTCAGTAGTACAGGAAATATAATTAAGTTTCTCACAAACTAAAGGCTCTAAAGAAGGCAAGTTGGTGAAGTCCTCGGAGGTAAAAACAGATGAAAAATAGGAATTAAAACTACTAGCAATACTCTCATCGTCAATCAGTTCTTTGTCACCAACCTTTAAAGATACCAGAGTGTTCGTACCGTTACGAAGAAGTTAAAAGAAGTTAAAAGAGTTTCTGTAGGCCTCAGCTCTAGGTCTCAATTCGATGAATCTGTCATTGTGAGGGGATCGTAGTGGGTGATTGTGCCTTTCGATGTAGCTTGGGAATTCCAACGCTGACTCACCGTGGATAGCCTTATGAAAAAGTGTGTGACGAGCAATTTTCCTTTGGTGCTGTAGAGTTGGCCAATCTAAGTCATTAAGTAAATTTGTGACAGTCCCAGGTGTTATCTCCCAACGACTTTTTATGAATGGAACAGATCGCCGCTGTACAGCTTCTATTTGCTTTATATGCTTATCCATCCACAGATCCCATAATGGGCTTGCATGTTCAAGGTGAGGTCTCACTAGTATTTTATAAGCTAATTCTTTAATTGATTCAGGGCGGTTGCCTTGTTGACCTTGTTATCAATGTAATGGCTCCAGTCTAATGTAGATGATAGCTCGACTCCAAGATATGGATAATGTAATGCTGATTCTAGTGTGTGACCGATTAATTTATAATAAAAAATAACAGGTTCACACTTTCTCGTTATCCTCATGACAAAGCATTTGCTTGGATTAAATTGCATCAGCCATTTTTGTGACCGGCGTTCTATGGTGGATAGATCAGACTGAAGATGTTTAGCATCACTTGTTGACTCTACAATACTACATAAGATGATATCATCTGCAAACAGGCGTATAGTGGAGGAGCAATCAGAACCAATGTCATTTATATATAATAGAAACATGAGACGACCTAAAACAGTTCCCTGTGTAACAGCAGATGATACATGAACTGGAGGAGATGAGACACCATCAACTACGACAGTCTGTTCCCTACGAGTAAGCCAGTTGGTTAGCCAGACCTTGTGGTGACCATGTATGCCATAATAATCTAGTACAATAATTAGTCGCTGGTGAGGAACGGTGTCGAAGACTTTGGAGAAGTCCATAATTATAAGGTCTGTCTGTTTACCATTGTGAATGGCTTTGGCTATTTCCTCGACTGTGGTTATTAGCTGGGTTTCACAAGAAAATTTCCTGCGATAGCCATGTTGAGAGAATATTGTTAGAGTCTAAGTGAGCCGTTATATCACGAAAAACAATAGGTTGTAGAATCTTGCATGGAACAGCAGTCAGTGAGATAGGGCGGTAATAAGTATGTAATATTTGCCATCAGCCAGTCACTTGGCACACTTCCAGATTCCAAAGATTGTGTAAATAGGAACTGTATGAATGGAGCAATCTCTGTGGCTGCTTCTTTGAGGATACGGCATGGGATCAGATCGGGGCCATAAGCTTTCTTGGAATTGATATTGTTCAATACCTGGAGTATTCCCAGTATGGTAAACACAGTAGGTGGTACGTCAACATTTAGTGTGGTACCACGCGTTGCAAGAATCACACTGGACGCCTTTTTGGTTTACTTTGACAGGTTTGGAACAAGCACCACATGGATAATGATACTTGGGTCCCGGGTTCAGAGCAATATCTCCGCTAAGAATAAACAAACAAAGAGACAGCGACCCTGTGGAAGATACTAATGAAACTGTTTTTGTTCGATCAATGCCAGTTTCATTCACCAGAAGACCCGCTTCATTCAACTTCATTCGAAGAAGAAACGCTGAAATGACATAGCCATTCTGACAAGTAGTTTCTTCGAAGACAAAATCATGTCCTTTTAGTGAAAAATTGTGAAGAGACAAGGCAAGAAATATCAATTTCATCGGAGGCATGAAAATACCCGCCATCTTTGTACGCAGCCGGTGACCCTGGATTTTTTATGGCCTAGGGTTCTTTTCAGAGACTTTTAAGAAAAGTCTATTTACTTTACGGGCATTGTTTGCCCAAAGAGTGACAACATCGCAAGAAAGAAAAAAATTGCGAAGTGTGTTATAATTCAAATCATTTTCCATTCAAAATATTTTGACGTTCCTGATTGGCTCCAATCGCCCGACAATACCCTTGCTAATTATTCATAACCAACTGGCGCTTACTGTACTTGGAAGATGTCGGGAAATACCAAGCTTTTCAGTGAGTATACCGGTTAACAGGAATTTCAATAAACTTTTTCAAAAGAAAAGGAAAGAACCTGTAAGCTAAGACCGCAAGGTGATATGGGATTTTATTATATAAAAGTTAGTCGTATACTGAGTGGTAGCAAATCGATAAATGCGCTATCCCACCAGTGGTGATATCATTGCTATCCACAGATGTGTGAAGTCAAGTCAAGTTTATTGTGAAAATATGCTTGACTATTTGTGACAAATAGACTAGCTATTTTGCAGGTATTTCACATTTAAAAATAAAATGAATAGATAATTATGACTAAAACTGTATGTACATTAGCTAATTAAAAAAATAAAATGTAATTAACATGATACTAAATAAAGCTAAAATTATTTACAAATAAAGTTTAAATAAAGCTAAAACTATTTACAATTATACTAAACCTGACAACTCCATTTTTTTACTACTATTTCTAAAAGCCTTGAAAGATCGTATCGTTCTACATGAATCGGGGTTTTGGGTCTACTAGTTTTGGCGCTGTAAACCACCACGATTTAAGGCGGTATGTTGAAGAGTTGGCCATTGGCCACTTTAAAATATCGTTTCCCCAGAGGTCGTATTAATTGATTCTTTGTACAATCAAATCTTTAATGCTCTTTGGTGCATGTTCATTGTTATGACATTGAAAACTATACAGGCTATTTTAGCGAGGCGTTGATTCACAAGTGATGGTAAACCTGTTTTTTTTTGTAAATCACGGTAGGGCGTTTGTTTTTCATTAAAGACAAAACGAAGGACAAGCTCATTAACTTTCTCTAGCTTTGCAGTGGCACCTTTGTTACAGAAATGCCACGTCTCTGAGCAGTAGTTGAGATGAGGAATGATAAATGAGAGGTGAAGACACTTTCCTGTTTCCAGTGGGAGGATCTTTTTCATCCTATTAAAGGTCAAATGAACCAAAATTTCGACATTTTTTTATTTTCGTTTAATTCTAGTGAAATGCGAACCAAATAAACACACTATGAAGTTTCAGCTCAATTGAAGCACGTATCTCTGAGATATTCGCAATTAAAAATTGCTATTTTTTGGCCCTTATCTTCGTAGAGCGGTCGGAAAATTGTCGGAAAAACCAGCTTGTGACGTCAATATTGGTCAGGTGAAAAAAAGCGGGAAATTCAAAACAGAGTTTTTCGAGTCGACTTGGCGCAGAAGTGGTTTGTGTGGCCATAAACTTAGAAAGAACAGGCAATTTGTCTTCAAAAGTTGCAAGCTGTGGTTATGACCTTCTTATTATCTAATTTTCTCGAAGAATACTCATAGTAAAACGGACTTTAACGACATTTACTAATTTCCTTGAGTTGTACTGGAAATGTGCGTGCGTAAGTCCGATTTTTTTCAAGATGCATTCACAAAATGTGTTCATATAACAGGGGCACCCAACGAGACTATAGCTCAAAACCACTTAAACATTGCATTGTTAAACGTATTTTAGTATTTAAACGGTAGATATAGGCATATTTTTATCCCCTAAAAATTTTTCATCTGTTCGGATTTCCTAGCTGAAAGTCTAGTGATCCGAAAATAATAGGGATCAAAACTTACTTTTTCGAAAATTTCAGCCAGAAAAAAGGCTCCCGAAAATTCAAGGTGACCTTTTTAGGGTAAAAATCCGTTAAAAATAGGCAATTATACCATTTTTTACATGTTCAAAAATCCTAGGAGAGGTAGGAAAGCAAGAAATTTTACAACAAATGTTTCGAAAATTCTAGATCTCAAATCGTCTTCCGAACAGATATTCTTCCGAAAATTGTCGTTGGGTGCCCCTGATATAAGGACGTTCCTGGATATATAAGGTCTGGAGCTCCACCGTGGACACAAAACAAAATATCTTTGTATAATAATCTGCCCTAAGAAATTCAGGTTTGCCCACAATGTGTTTGAAGTCACTGAACTTTGTCGCACTCGAGCTGATATTTTAAAACCCACGCTCGATCGTACACTTCTAGCTTCGCAGATCACTAATATATAAACAAAATCCTCAATGTATAAGTTTTGGCGTGGGCAGAAAAAGAGTTAATCTTTATGTAGTAAACCTTCCCCAAGATCGGATTCAAAGCAACCATAGTTTTTTAAACTTGATCGTTTCGCGCAGATTAATTTTGCTTTGTGTTGTCATGTCCATGCGAGGGTCTTCATTCAAGCTAATTAAACTCAGCAAACTGAATCATTAGAAAATACAGAAAACTGCACATAGGGATTTGTTTTGCTCGCTTCAGCGGTCAAATCCAGCTCCAAGAATTGTTTACGGGCAAAGAGTCGATTGTTTTGGAGTCATTCGCATGCGTTAGCCGTTACGGTTCTTTGACTGAAAACAAGGATAAAGCTGGTTCTGCAAAGGTAAGTAAATCTGGGCATGAAAAACAAGTAACCATAACTACTAATAACAGAATACAAGCAGGTTTTAATTCAACCCGACGAAAGAAGGCGAAGCACTAGACACAAAATCAACTCACAAATCGAATGCACGATTATCAGAAAAATACAAACCTGTTGGAAATGTTGAAAACGTTTTATTCCACCTCAGACTGACGGAATGATCTGTTTTTATTCTAACATTGGTTGTGCTGAATCCAAAGTAATTTTCAAGTGACGAAAAAACAACAACAGCCACAACAACAACAACAAAAGCCTTTACAAGGAACAAACGTTCGCACCTCGTGTATTTCATTCAGTCTCGGTCAGAACTCTCACAGAACAACTGGGCCGAGTTCAAAGCTGGGTTAAGATAACCCAGGGTTAGTGCGAGCTTTGAATTCATAAATGAAAGCTTAAAAAGCATTTCAGTTTTAATTCTTTTTGTCTACAAGTTGATGATTGGAAGCTCTAAAAATAACAGAGAAAATTAACCGTGAAAATGCTTTTGAACACAAGAAAAAGAAATCCGGGTTAAATTTAACCGCGGGTTAAGCGCTAATCGGCCTTCGAACAACCGGGCCCGAGACAAACAAACGCAGCGATAAGGGAAGCGCAGAAGCTTGCGCAGAACGTTTTCCCGTCCTGAAAGACCAACATTGACGTCACGTAGTCTGCAGTCTATCACGCGGCCATTTCAGAAACGTTTTCGTGAAGTCGTCGGAAATTCTCGGATTTTGACCTTTTATCTTTCTATAGAGGCTTGGGAACAAAAATCTTTACCCAATTCTCACTTAGGATGGTTCTTTTTAGTGTTTGGTGAAGGTAAAGCGACAAAAAAAAATATGTCAATGTTTTGGTTCATTTGACCTTTAAGCACAACAACCTGCTGGGAGACTTTTCGGCAGATACTTTCTATGTGCTTTTCAAATTTTATTTTATCGTCAACTCTGACCCTAACCATTTGGAGTTCTTCAGTATTAGGAATAGTCGTGTTTTCGCAGTAGAATTTTGGCATAGTTTGTATCCTGCCCATAACTATTGCTTGATACTTAGAAGTATTTCTCTTCATGCCATTTTCCTCGTACCACCAATCAACATTAGCGAGATCAGCATTGATCACCTCTGACTTACTATCGGGAAAAAATATTTGGGTATCTTCAGCATACGCGGACAATTTGCTCCGTTTGACAGCGTAAACAAGGTCGTTCACAAATATATTAAATAGTAATGGCTTTAGTAAACTGCCTTGGGGGACTCCTGCTGAGATTTCTTTCTATTTTGAGTACTGGTCACCTTAACCCGCTGAAGTCGATTACTGAGGTAATCATGAACTACAGTAGGTCGGTGGTGTTATCGTCAGCTCCATAAGATTTAAGTTATCGAATGCTTTGGAAAGGTCCATCGACACAATTCCAGTGATATTATATTGGTCAAGTTCCTTTCTCCACTGTTCTGCGAGGATTAGTAGAACGGTATCCGTTCCATGATTTTTCCTGTATGCGAATACATGTTCAAAAATATATCTTCAAAATAGGGACTGATTCTTGAATGAATTTTAGTTTCAAATACTTTTGACAAGGACGGCAAAATAGTTATCGGTCTGTAGTTAGCCTTGGTCAAGCAACAATCCTTCTTGAAAACTCGTGAGACTTCTCGGAGTTTCCATCGTTGAGGTAACTTAGACTTATCTAGGATGTAATTGAAAAGTTCACTGAAAGGGTGGCATAGGATTTCGGCAGATTCTTTTATGGCTCTTAGTGGAATACGATCACGGCCCGTTGCCTTCTTTGCTTTGATCTTTATCATAGCTTCTTTTACTTTGGCGGAGTTTGTTTTCCTCAAGGACAATAGAGGTTTAGGTGTTAGGTTTTGCTGTATGCGAGAAACGTCGGGGTTGAGTTTCGCACCTGAAGTACTTTGTTCAGTACGACCAAGACTTGTGAAAAAGTTGTTCAAAGTTTCCGCCACCTTTCTTTGTTCCCTTATGACACTTCCATTGTCCTTTAATACAATGCGCCCATAATGTTTATTCTTGTGTGAATTAATTTAAGGCTTAAATGTACTCTAAATCTGTCTTTGATTTGCATATTTGTCTACACGTGGTCATTTAGCATAGCCCTGTAATGCCTTTTTTCTGATGCTGACAATTTTATTTTTGATTAATTGGTAATTTTCCCAGTATTCTGAATTTCTAGATTTGTTACATTTCTCCTTCAGACCATCGCGTTCCCTCATGGCTTTGCGCATGTCGGGTGTAATGAATTTCGATCCTGTTGTACGTCGCTTACAACAGGTGCATGTCCATCAAGGACACAATTGTAAGGTTTTTCCCAACACCAGTAAACATTGTCAGGGTCGTCAAAAGCGGACACGACCGAGAAAGGCAATATGCGTAGGTCTCAGAGAAAGGCATCCTGATTGAAATTTTTAAAGGATCGCCTTGTAACAATGTCGGCTTTAGGGCGCATCAGTCTTGTGTTTAACACAGCGTAGATCAGGCAGTGATCACTACGGTCTGTCTCTATGACGCCAGAGTCTTAAATGAAAACTGGGACATTTCTAAGAATGACATCCAGACTGGAAGCAGTGTTCTTGGAAATCCGTGTTGGACTTGTGATAAGACTGGCGAGATCGTAAACATCGCAAATATCTAAATGGCATTTCCCCTGTTCGTTGTTGTGGAGCGGATTAAGTATATCGCAATTCAAGTTTCCAATAAAGATCACGTTCTCAGTTACGCAAAAAGCGTTGTCCAGTAGAGTAATCAGTTCGCTTGTAAAAGAAATATTATTAATAGGTGGTGGTTTGTACTAGTATGCACTAATAAGAACGACATTTCTTGGCCGATTGCAAGTCGACCATGATAGATTCTTATTGTTTACAGTTTTGGTTTCTTTCGGGAGCAACAATAGTATCCCAAATAAACACTGCAATACCACTGCCTCCTTTAGTTCTGTCCCTTGGGAAAAGGTTGTATGCATCGACATGAAATTGATTGTTTGGGAAAGACCAATCAATCTTTGTTTCTTGTACCGAAAGAAAGTCAATCCAATTTGACGTCAGCCGTTCCTGTATCTTCACAAATTTGTTTGGGAGGCTTTTAATATTTAAATTTGCAATAATCCATTCTTTCTTGTTGTTTCCCCTGAGCTTTCTGATATCCACTTGCGTATTCTCTGCAGTCGATACCAAATCTGTGGCTGTTAAATTTGTGTCAACTGTGCTATTATTTAAGAAGGATTCATTATAGTCAGGCAAAGAACACAAAGAGCAGACCCAATCTCTTTCTGGATGTTGCTGATGGTAATTAAGGCTTGATTTGGATAATTTGAGGCAATTTGTGTGTGACAGAATGTTGCATCGAGCACACAATATGGTGTCTTGGTTCCTTCTAATTATTCGTCTACATACCCCACAAGGATATTTTGGTTGGAACTTTCTTTTCTCTGGCCCCGGAATTGGATCTATGTCACCGCAAGTACGCAGTTTCCTTTTGAATTGAAAAGTACTGGTACCTTTCAAAGTGTACAGGACTTTTGTAGATGGGAATCGCTTCGCTTGAGACCCTCTTGTTCTCGTGGTTATGTAGTCAGCGCCAGGTTTTGAGTGATAAATCGTACGCGTTGTGTCTAAAATGTGATTCTCTTGGATTGAAATAATAGTGAGACCAATGAGAACTATAAAAGGGGCTAAGGTGACCATGTTGCACAGAAAGCAAGTGTTTTAACAAAGTCACGGAGATACAAAAATCCCGTATCATGATATCATTTTTGATTAATCAGCCCACAGTATTTTCGCGCGTTGTCAAGCACTTCTGGTTTTCCGTCATTTGTTCTTCTTGGAGGTTTTGCGTTGGTCTCTTAGCGAGTCGAAGTTAGGTTTCAAGTTTATAATAAAATGGAGACAAGCAGGTTTGTCGAGATCACAGGTAAGGAACTTATTGAATTCGTAGAAGAACAAGAAAATTCAAATACCAAGAGGAAAACTGCGTACGACATCGAGTTATTCAATAATTTCATTCAGACATCAAACCCTGCCTTTCTTGGTTCAACATCTCTTCATGAGCTTACACCACAAGTTCTATACGGCCACCTTCCGAAATTCATCTTTGGGGTTAGAAGAAAAGATGGCTCCGACTGTGAACCCACAAGATTAAGAGGATTTCTTTCAAGCATCCAGAGATATCTGAAAAAACAGAACTACGGCCTCACATTTTTACTGACGGTGTGTTCTATACTACAATGGCTACTCTCAAAGCAAAACAAAAGAAACTAAAAGCCAAGGGATTGGGAAACAAGCCTAGGACATCGGATATCCTAAAAGACGAGGACAGTGAAATACTGTATGCTTCCAACTGCGTAAGGTTTGAATGCCCTCAAGCCATTGTTAACACTTTGTGGTTAAATTCGACCTTACATTTCCGCCTTCGCGGCGGTAAAGAACAGAGAGTATTACGCTGGGGAGATGTCAAAACTCAAGCAAGCAGCTCACGGAAAAGAGTATTTAGAATACTCGGATGAAAGACAGACTAAAACTAGAACTGGCTCTGACCCTAGAGAAAAAGACTGACTGACTGACTGTTAATTGGAAAAAGGTTTGTTAAACAAATTTAAGAAATGGTGAACGTGCAGGGTGCAACCATCGAGTTACGGATGCACAAGGGAGGATGCTAAGCACGAAAGAAACGCCACGAGCAACTCTGGCTTCAAGTGCTTAGCAAACCTTCCTGTTATGTTCTCGGACAAACAGCTAGAAATAGGACAATTGTACACAATATGGAGGATCAGCTCTGGAACTGTATTAATCAAAGACCACATGGGATTTTCAGTAACCGCAGACATACTGTGGGCTCAGTATGAACTACTGACACTATAACAATATGTAATGATACACTATGATACCTCCTCACAGAAATTTTGTGCCTGATAACAAAAAATTACTCTCTAAGTGATTACAAGCCCAAGAAAACAAACAAAACTATTAGAAGCTGTGTTTAACGTCATTAAGGTGAGACTTGCTGGTTTTAGTCCATTTGTTCAACCAGTCTCTGTGGTGGTTTAATAGCATGCTTGGGCCAACGCAGAGCAGGGGTGGGAGGAGTAAGTAAGCTTGGTGACTCCATTGACTCTGATCCTTCAGGTGGGGGTGCACTACTTTCCGTACTGGGAGAAGTAACACCTTCAGTAGATTGATCAGATGTAACCTTGACGGAGCTGGATTGAGTCACCGCAGAACTGGGGGTGTTTTGAAGTACATCGTTGGAATGTCCATCATTCAGCTGGACCTGAAAGGAAGAAGGTGATGTTTGCTGTACGACAGTGCTTGCTTGCCAAGGCTGTCCCCATAAGAGGTCTCGTGCGAGAACACTGTCACCTACAGCTCTCTCTCTGTATGTGGCAAACTTGTCATGATTAACTTCATTTTGTATTGTAGGCTGGCCACGCGAGACCCAATATCAGGTGTAACCAGACACAGTCCTGTGCAAAGTTCTCGCTGCAAGAACAGCTTGGCGGGAGATGAGCCGGTAGTAGTATGTAGTGTGCTCCTGTAAGAAAGGAGAAAATTCTGAATCTGTCGCTGAACAGGGCTTGTGGGATCGTCAGCTGATAGATGACTCTACAGCCAACCAACTTGAATGCTCTGAATACCATTTTGTTACAGGAACTCTTCATACTCTGCAGACAGGAAGGGTGAGCCAATGTCGCTGACTACTTGGGTTGGTAGACCGTATCTTGCAAAAATATTGTGCATCGCGTTAATGGTTGAGTCAGCTGTTTTCATGGGACCAATCACTTCAGACCACTTAGAGTGGATGTCGACCATGACGAGGTAGTTCGTAAATCTACGTGAATGCGTTACCATGGAGCTGTTGGCTAAGACCATGGAAGAAGCAGGGAGGCTGGAATAGCCTTGCAGGTTTTGTTGCATGGTTGATATTCACGGGTAACCTTTTCAACCTCCTGATCAATTTGCGGCCTGTAAACATGACTGCAGGCTATTTATTTCATGAGTGCAATTCCAGGATGGCCCCCATGTAATTCTGCCAGGATGGGTTGTCTTAAGGAAGGTGGTATGATAGTTCGCAGGCCCCAGAAAAGGTAGCCTTGCTTCACAGAAAGTTCATGTCTGTGGGTGAAGTATGGCTTGAGGTCAGGATCCGCGCAGTGATGAACAGGCCAACCTTTCTGTGTAAGCAATAATGCTTTCGCTGACAAGGGGTTCCTAGAAGTTTCCTTGGCGATATCTGCCGAAGAGACTGGGTGTCATTTTAACTATGAGAGGCCACATTAAACATTTCCTCCTTCACACTTGCATCTTTCCTGTACTGAATTGGGAGCCTTGACATGACATCAGCGCTGGCTACTTCAGCAGATGATTTGAACCCAGTTTCGTAGTGGTAGGACAAGAGGAGAAGGGGCCAGCGTTGCAGTCTGGCAGCAGCCAAAACTGGAGTCACAGAATCCAGAGCAATCCAGATCAGTTCGAAGAGTGAACTTGCGCCTGAAGAGATACAAGCAAAATTTGATGAACCCAAAAATAATAGCAAGACCTTCCTTCTCAATCTGGTCGTAGTTTTTCTCAGATGAGTTCAAGGACCTAGAGGCATATGTGATAGGTCGCTCATCGAAATTAGGGGAGCGGTGAAATATGACTGCCCTGATGCCATACTGGCTTGAATCGCTTTCAAGAATAAAAGAAAGGCTTGGATCATAACGAACTAGTACGTTTAAAGATCAGAGTGAGTCCTTGGCCTTTTCAAATGCTCCTTCGCACAGGGAGGACCACTTGAATTCTTGGTTACTGAGGAGAAGCTGAGTGAGTGGTTGGAGGATAAGGCCCAGGTTTCGGATAAACCAAGCCAGTTGACCAGTCGAAGGAAAGCTCTCAGTTGGGTAAGGTTCTTAGAGCGTGGTGCTTGTTTGATGGCTTCTACCTTTTCCTCTGTAGGAGAAATTCCACTGGCAGAGATTACGCAGCCCATGTACGTAACTAATTTGAGCATGAATTGGCATTTGCTTAGGTGGAGTTGCAAGCCATGATGGTCTAGATGGCTGAGGATGCTGTGTAAGTTCTTCATGTGATTCATCTAGCTTTTGAACAACTGGGGTAGGTATATAATAGGGAAGCTCTCGCGCGCGAAGGGCGTGCAGCGGAGCACCATGGGTAAGAAAATTTGGTCAACTATCCATCGAAGAAAATTTGGTTATGATGTAGCGTACGCCCGTACACTCTTTGCAAGGGGGAGGAATCACCTGTCACCCCGTCGCGGGGAGAAGTATGTTATAAATCGTGCGATGCATTTGTGCAACCTGTGCTTTTCTTGGCGGGAAATCGCGCAAGAAATGGCGTGGCCAACGTCATCACGTTCAAAAACTTGTTTACTTTAGAAACTTGTTTTCAAGTATTTTAAAGTGCCCATCTCTTAAAATTTATTATTTTCTTATCTGAAACTACACCTTATTAAAATAACTTCTGCGAAAAAATTTTGCGATTTGAACCAAAGACGAAAGAGACATTCTAATAATTCCACAACTCGATGCCGTTAAGTGAAAAACCACTGCAGACTTCGGGATCACGCACATTTCTTTCATTTTCTTGTTTTTCGATAGCAAACCAGGAAGCTGTCAGCCGATCTGCAGCATCATTATTGCGAATAAAAGCTTTAGCTCTGTCAAAGCGTCCCTTGTTTGTTGTTTTTGCTCTAGTGGGAAGAACCGCTGCCATCTTGGATGTCGCAATGTTATGCGAAGTAGAGGGTAGAATTAGGACAAGTGTGCAAAAGCCACTTTTAAGAGAGGGAGACTGACCAAAGCCACAGATCTGCATCTTGACGTGGACACTGTAATTGAGGAGCTTGAGCAAGAAAGCACGTACAAGTACTTAGGCATCAATGAAGGAGATGGTATACGCTTAGCCATGAAGGAGAAAATAAGGAAAGAATACACAGAGGAGTACGTATGGCATTGACGACTGAACTTAAGACAGCTAACAAATTTGAAGCCATCAACACCTTAGCTATTCCTGCTGCAACATACAGCTTCAACATAATCAACTTGAAACTGAGCAGTATAAGAAGAGTGGATGCTAAAACAAGAAAGATGCTGGCCACTTCAAAGATGCATCATCTCAAATCATGTTGACAGGCTGTACCTTCCAAGAACATCTGGAGGATGCAGCCTTGTACAGCTCGAATTGTCCCTTACAACCACTACCATAGGGCTAAATGCATACTTAACAAGTAACAATGACCCCCCTCCTCCAAATAATAAAATACCATGAACAGAGAAAAGGAACTTCATTCTATAACAAAAGAAGCGGCAAAATTTTGCAAAGAGCTTAGTATACTAGAACTCCCAAAGGATGGAACTAAGCTGGTAACCGCTTATGCAAAACGAGTAAAGAAAATGGAACAAAAACTACAAGAATCATGGAAAGAAAGGATGATGCAAGTGAAGTACCCTCACATGTTTAAAGACGCAGATGTAGACCAACAGAAAACAAATCAATGGTTAAGAAGTACTGGTCTCAAAGGTGAAACCGAAAGTCTAATGACTGCAGGACAAGATTTGAGCCTAGCTAGCCGCTCTTATCACCATCATTAAAGACACAACTGTCCCTCACTGCAGGGCCTGCGGAAAATTTAAAGAGTCGATTGATCATTTTGTCACTGGGTGCCCAGTATTAGCAAAAACAGAGTACATTTATCGGCATAACAAGACAGCAGCATACATTCATTGGAAGATCTACAGAGGTTACGAAATTGAGACAACTGAGAAGTGGTACAAACACCAGCCAACAACAGTATTATTAATGGTCACAATGCTCTGGGATATGCCTGTGCACACCGACAGGGAAATATAAGAAATATAAGACAGCACACCTGACATTGTGGTCAAGGACAAGAAAGAAAGAAGGTGCATGGTCACTGACATAGCAATTCTATCTGACAGTAACACCTAAGAAAATTCACAGAGAAGTAATGACAATGTAATGAAATAATGACAATAACAATAATAACAATATCGTTATTATTACTATCATTATCATAATAATAACACAAACAAAATACAGCATCTCCCCAATTTTTCTATTGTGATTAAACTTATAACTATTGTCAATTTGATGAATTGAGTGTTTCTCTACATTTACTTGAACTGTTGAATTTGCTCTAACTTGTAATAGTTGCTCCAAAGCAGCATTTCCTCCCCCAGACACCCGGTATACAGAATTAAAATGGAGTTTACATCTTAAATTTTGTTTGATATAAATACATTTTGTTGTCTCAAAGCTAAGCAAATGTTACCTTGTAAAGAGTCAGATAAATTTCACTCAGCAGGAAACAGATTTTATATCCAAGGGTTTCCTCTGTTAAAAAACAAGATCATCAATGTGAGAAATATTCACTATTTCATACCCCTGCTTGCTGTCACACAAAGCATTACAAGTGAGCAAGTACAACAGTAACATACTACCACCAACTTACCTATAGGTTCAACAATTTTAAACAGTCTTTCTAGAATAACTAATGCCTTGGTATACTGTCTTAGCTGCAAAAGGAAAAAGACCGTCAATTTCAGCAGTGTGCACTAATTGCTCAGAGGCAACCAATTTCATCTGAATACCTACCTTGGGGCGGCTAGAAAACTACATTTACAATAGATACATTTTAACTCAAGAGATACAGCAACAACAACAACAACAATCAGAAGCATATAACCCCAAAGCATCTAACTTCCCCTTATCTATTTAGAACCATGCTTGGGTTTTTTAGGCATCCAATCAGATGCACACAAAAAATATGCCCAAATATGGAATCAGAAAATTGAAGGCATCCCCATCTAAAAAGCTGCTTATCATTTTCACAAAAATTATGACCTAAATTTGGAAACCGCTGAATTTCTCGCATTGGGTCTTTGCGATTTTGGTGAAACTCTGCTCAACGCAAGGCACTAATGCGCACTGCCGAGAGATTTTCGTGAAAAAATGCCGGCAACAGCAGAATTTTGACTCAGACCCCAAAGAGGCGTGGCAGTATAACCAAGTGACATTTACTCTGATTGCCAAAAACTTTATGCTACGTTGTCGATTGATCTATATGTTATCCACGCTATGTGTTAGACTTCTGATCAAAGTAAAGGTGGGGATACCAGAGAGCTTCAAAGTAGGATAGTACCCTCACAAAATAACTAGGTCGAGTCACCTTAACAGTTCTACAAGACAGTAGATCCACAACTCAATAGTACCTTTGAGCCGATAACATAATTGACAGAAAAAAACATTAATATATTCACAGGTAGTGGAACGGACGAGTGTGTTGTTATTTGTGAATGCTAAGCTGCCCTATGGAGTGTACAAATAATTTTCTTTGCCAATACTTTCCTAAATTAGTAGTCGTAGTTTTCCCTCTCAGTGTTCATTGAAAAGCATTATGTTTTCCTGAACAGATTTTGTGCATTGCTCTTAATATTGAGATAACAACATTTGAAAACTATCGGGTAAAAAAAACAAGGTCGTGTGATGTTGATGCATACTCTGTTGAGCAATAAGTCAATCATAGCCATCTTGAATTCCACTTTTGGTCTAGTTTTACTCTGGAAGGCGACATAAAATGACATTGTTCAAAAAGAGTAGGGAATAGCAACAGTGTTATAGCTTATCTGATTTCTGCCGTCATTGGTCTGGGTAAAAGTGCCTTAATGTGAAAACCGCCGATCTTACACCTCTGGTCCCCTTGCATTTCAGCCACTGGCAGCAAGAGAGTGAAAACTGACACCAATACCCAATTGCCAGTGAAAAAGAATCTTTTAGTCCCAGAACGTTTCAAATGTACATTGTAAATACCATATAATATAGGGCTTTTTAAGGATAATTTACCACTCTGGTTGGGGAAATTTGTCACACTGCTTGTGGTACAGTTCACAGTAATGAAGTTATGAGTCTAATGTGGACATAAATTTGAGATGGACCACGGCACCATGAATTTTGAATCTTACTCTTTACAAACAGTGTGGGTTCTAAAATATTTTTCAATATTGCAGCTCACACATGTTTGTAATATGTTAATGACCTTATGCTTGTGGAAAACACACCTATGATTTAAACAAACATTAACACTCCTTTGTCTTTCATTCAGTAAAGACGTACTATACAGCTAAATTCCTTACAAACTAAACCAGTACACGTTCATCCATTTCAAAATTATGGCCTTATTTAGATGGGGCTGTTAAATTTGGTTACTTACATGGAAGTAAATAATGGATTCATTGTACAGAAGATAAGCTGTATCTATGTCATCAATATCTTCACCAGTTTGAGAACTTTCTTTCTCAGCCTAAAAACACAAAAGTTACATCACAGATGACTCATTTTGAGGTACAAAAAAGAAAACTGTATCTGGGGAAGAATGAGACTGGGGGCACAGAGACATGTTGAGACCTCCATTCCCTGTCCCCCCTATTTATGAACCCATCGTGGGTAAGATGTGTATAAATATGTATTGTTGCACAACAAGAGTTCATTGTTAAGAAACAATATAGTTACTGGAAGAGGATGGTGGAAAGAAGTCAAGTGGCTGTGGGGGGCAGTGCTTCTCAGGGAATGTGACCAGCCCAGTATATCCATCTATCTCTGCTTAGGGCCTTGTAAACTACTTCTGTCACCCGCTTTTAAGACTGTTAAAAAAATAGTCTGTAAGACTTTACACAACTGCATTGCACTGTACCAGGAATCCCTGTGCCCTTCGGCATTCTGTGTTATTGACTTTAACATGTTTTTCCTTGGCCTTTTCAGCACCGTTTTAAAAAACATCATATGTGCATCAAGCATGCACGTCTTGCTTTTGATTTTGTGATACGCACTTGCACCTTGGTATTCCAAGGAAATAAACAACTTGAAAAAACATCGCCGGAGATTGGAAGAAAAGCCGTGGCAAAGGACCTAACTTCTAATGGATCGCCAGTTGTTTATTAATCAGTGCTGTGCCGTCAACAACTTAATTAATTTGTTCTTCCAAGAAATGCTATCATTACGCTTCACTTATCAATGATAATCAGTCGGTCTATAAACTTCTTTTCAAGACAATCGACAATCTATTACATAGAAAGTGTGATACACCATATCCTCCATGCAACTCGCCTTCGGAGCACGCAAATACCTTTGATAAACTCTTTTCTGATAAGATAACTAAAATACGGGTCGACCTAGATGCTGCAGCTCCTATCCACCCAGTTCCCAAAATCAACCGGATCTGTTCTTATACATTTGATGAGTTTATTATAGTAACCGTCAATGAAGTCCGCAAATGTGTTACGAAATTATCTTCCAAATCATGTGATCTTGACCCTCTTCCTAGCTATGTCACAAGAAATGCTCTGGGTACACTGCTACCATTTATCTCCAAGATTATTAACACTTCACTGCAATTTGGGCAAATGCCCTCTCAATTAAAATCCCTCTCCTTAAGAAGCCTTCCCTGGATCATACACAGTTTTCAAACTATTGCTCCGGTTTCAAACCTAAATTTCATCAGCAAAGAAGTTTACAAGTCGTTTGCTAACCAACTGATCTCCTATACTAACAAAAACAACCTGAACGAGACATTTCAGTCAGCCGACAAACAGTATCACAGCACAGAAACGGCTCTCATTCGCGTGCATAACGACGTCCTCACAGCCATTGATAATCGTGGAACAATAATTTTATTACTTCTGGACCTCTCTGCTACCTTCAATACAGTTGATCACGATATTCTCCTTTCTCGCCTACAAGAGCGCTTTGGAGTTACTGGAAAGCCCTTATTGAGGTTTCAATCTTAACTGTCAAATCGCATGCAGTATGTAGTATGTGTCTGTTGATGGTGGGGCTTCTTTGAACAACAACAACGACAACAAAAACAACTTTTATTGACCCGTTACACATAAGAAAGATGAAATTTACATGCAATAATAGGCCTCTCACTTGTGGCTCTGCAGTAAAAATACTCGTACGACAACCGGTCTCCAATGTAATAGGGCTAGCCACTTAGCTGAGTATCAAAGCACTGACGGAAACTTTCTCAAGTAGTGTCTTTCTGGGCATCTGACCATCAACATTTCAGTAAAGGTCTTAATTTTGTAGTTTGACCTGGGGTAAACTACAAAACGAAGACCCCATCCTTTTTTGTCTCTTGGCACCCAACAAAGCGTTTTAGCAAAGGTCTTCCTTCTGTAGTTTGACCAAGGGTAAACCACAGAACAAAGACCCCAACCTTTAAGTTTTCAAGTCTCTCGGCGTCTAACAAACCGTCTCCTTGGTGTTGATGGACTTAAAATTAATTAAATCTTGGGTCCTCAGTCTTCGTTTTGTAGACACCCTATAGAAACCAGCACCTCCTGCATTTGAGAGGCTTGGCTGTGAAATAAAGTCATAGCCTGGAATACTAACATTTCTTATGATATCCTTATCAACGTTAAACTTAATTGTTGAAAGCCCCATCAATGAGAAAGGAGACTGCAATTCAGATAACATATGAACAAGATGCTCATGATTACCCTGCAAGCTTCTAACATTGCAATTTAAAGCAGGAAATGACTTCAAGTGTGATGCGAAGTCACTTGTATCATCATTGGAATGGAAGTCATGTGTAGTATGATACTTGTAAACCACGATTTCTGTCAAATTGCGTGATTAGCTTGGTTCAACAGCGGCACTCGTATCAAGTATGACAGGACTTGTCAACGATCAATTAAAATAATTAGCATAGAAAACACTATTGCACTCTATAAGTCTGCACAGAAAAAACATTTTTTTTAAAAGAAAGCTCTTGATGAGCTCTATTTAATCGTCTAAAAATTGCAAATTTAGAAGAATGATGATTTTTTACCCTGGATGATACCTTCAGGGGAAGAAAGTTAATAAGCCCCTGCCCTCTATTAAGCCCCTCTCCCCTCCAATGATTATTCTTCACTAATAAATGATAGACTGTATTAATCAATCACGACTGTAAAACTTCATTTGGACTGATCCAGGATGGTATATTTACCAACTGGAAGTTCGGATTCGATTCTGATGCTTGGCTACATGACCTCCAACCTTCCTGTACTTGAGCTTTTCCACTTTGTATTCTGGTTCTTTATGTAGAACTGATACCATCGTCTTTTCTCTATTAAGCCCCCCTCAAATGGGCCTGAAATGAATAAGCGCCCCTGGGGGCTTAATAGAGGATTTACAATGACCGTCTTGTATTCTCCGAACACCTCTGGTGTTTATACCAGGCTGTACAAACATGAAAACGTTTTCTATGTTTGCTTAAATATTAGTACCTAAAAGGGATGAAAAAAATGCATGCGATAATAGCCTATTCCTGCTGATCGTTCTCTTTTCACTTAGGGCCTGTTAACATGGATGTGGGATCCGGGGTTGGTGTGATGAAACCAAGATGGCCTCTCGAACCAGTAGGTGCTTGATCCTGATGAAAACTTCATTTGGACTACACTGGGATGGTCTATTCATGAAATTTCAGATTTGAGTCTTGGCTGCATGATCTCCAACTTCTTGTACTTGAGCATTTCCACTTCTTATTCTAGTTCTTTATGGAGAACTGATACCACTACATTCACTAAGTAAAATAAGCCTCCCCTCTCAAATAAGCCCCTTTCCATCTCATATAACCATGATAAAATATTATTATTCAATAAATATTGTTCTTTCCAAAAAGTTAGGTTTAATGTTAAGACTACAGATAGAGGGTACTAGAGTGCACGTACATGTAAACTATTTACCAGTAATACAAAGTCCCTTAACATCATTTTCACATAAATTAAACAAAGAAGCCAGATACAAAGCTGTTGAAGAACTCACTTGTTTTCGTATCTTAAGTAAACTCCTGCCACATTCCTCAGGTCCAGTGCAGTGTGAATGGTAGAATTGTGCCACTGTTTTGTTATGCTGAACCTTTGGGTCATTCTTTCTCAGTTCCAAGAGCTTGCTTAGGGATGATAAACACCTTATAAAGGTAAACAAAATTTAAGACAAAATATTTTGGGCCAGTAATTCAAATAGTGACAGTTTAACCTGTACATATCTTGACCGGTCTAAAATTAGCCACCCCTAATGTCTAAACAATTATGACATAAGGGCAGTCAGTGCAGACTAGCGATAAATTAGATTAATAGAATAACCCACCCATAATTATTGATATTTTGATATCCACTGATTATCTGGCCTCTTTTGCTAGTGCTGGAGCACAGATTACATAAAACAAAAGGCAAAAATGAACCGAGAACCATGTAAATCCTATCAAGACTTTATTATTGGTTTTTTGGTTACACCAGTACATGCCCAAAGATGCAACTGTTATAAACAAAACCCTGAGTTAGATTTCTTTTAAAGACAGGCCCTTCAGTTTTTTCAGAGGGTGCCAATCCTGCCTTAGCTTTGGGTATTCATGTTTGAAGGATTAGCAATAACATTGATTTTGCTGCTGGTACATTGACTAAAAGTGTGGAATGTTTTAATATCTGCCATTCAACATGTTTTGTAAACAACAAAAAAGTGTAGGAAGTGCCACAAACCAATGCTTGTCACTTGCATGGTCTCTGACCTGGGGCAGTGAAACAAAGTTTGAAACTTTAACCAATGGATGGATCCACAAGTTGGATGAGCTTTCTTATGGCTCAGTAATTCCAAGTGGGCACATGTCCCCCTGGCATTTGGGGGGGGGGGGGTAGTCTGCAAATGCATACAAATACCCCATGCTGGGGCTAAAAAAAAGTGTGCAAATGCCCCACCATGGGACAACACAAGCTGCAAATGCCACAGTTTATTCTTTAAACTCTTCAAACAATGTCATGATTATTTTTACTTCCATGTGCAAACTGATCACTGGAGGAAAGCAATTTGTTAGACAGATGCCTAAATACTGTGGAGTAGGGTGGCGGTTTCAAAACACTAACAACAACAACAACAACAACAAAACCTTATTAATAAACAAATAACATTACAAAAGTATTGCCTGCAGCTAGCAAGGCTATTCGAGCCGGGACAATGCGTGCAAAATATAAGAAATAAAAACAAAGGCTATTAACAAGGAAAGTTTACAGTTAGTTACAAATAAATGAAATAAAAATCTTAACATGGACGAGGACTAGATAACAGACTAAAGGAAAAAAGAATTAAACAAACAAATTGTAAAAGTAGAAACTAATAAGCAAGAATTTATTTTTCGAAATGTTTTGGCTAATTTAATTAAGGTGGGCATATCAATATAGTCATCTTCTGAAATATCAAAAAGTAATTTGCGGACTGTTTTTTTGAACTTATTCTTGGGGAGTTGTCGGATGTTACAGGGTATCTCATTCCACAGCTTAGCCCCAAAGCGAGAGAAAGACAATTTATATAATTCTAGTTCGGAACTGTTAACATCAAAATTTCCTGAAGCTGATACTCTTGTATTGTAGTAGTGGCAGCTACTTGTTTTTGAAATAGATTTAAAATTCCAGAAGGTACCATATTGTTATGGACATCATGCATAAGATTTGATATAATCTGAGAATATAAGAAATTTAAGGGTAAAACATTGGCGTCAATGAAGAGAGGTATTGCGTGATCACGTCTATCCAAGAAGTTTTTCATCTGAAGAGCTCTTTTTTGTAGCAATAGAATTTTATGGAGATGTGTCTGCTGCTTGGCCCCAAGCAGCAAGTCCATATGTAATGTACGGATAAATAAGTGATTGATAAATTTTTAGAAGAATTTGCCGGGGTACAAAATGACGCAATTTCGCAAGTAAGCTGACTGTTTTGCTGATTTTTAAAGAGACAGCATTTATATGAAGTTTCCAGGTAAGGTTTTTATCAATCAAAATGCCAAGATATTTAATATGTTCCTCGGATTCAAGAGTAGCATACTCATTTTTCTCGTTGTCAAATAAACATATTTTAGGTTTATAATTAGGCTTTTTTTGTTTAGGATGAAAGATTACAAAGTTGGATTTACTAATGTTAAGAGTTAGCTTATTAAATGTCAACCAGTTGTACAGTTTGCACAATTCTGTGTTGACTACTGTTTCAATAACTTTCAAATTTTTTTCAGCAAAGTATATTGGTATCATCAGCGAAAAGATAGAATTTAAGTTTAGTAGAGCACTGGTGGATATCATTAACATATAGCAAAAAGAGAAGAGGACCTAAAACGGAACCTTGAGGATTTCCAAAGCTGATTGAGGCTTTATTTGATATGTGGTCAGCAATTTGAGTAGATAATCAAGCAGCAATGATGTCAATCAAAAAATGATCCATAACTTTAGATTGTTCACCAATATATGTATTCAATATAGATTCTTCACTTCGATTGAGACTAGAGCAACTTTTGGGACGTATTATGAATGTGACTTTTTTCACTGTGACTTTAAATTAAATGATCTAAAGTGAGTGAATACTGTTGTGGTTTCTACATTTCCAACACTAAATGGCACCTCTGCCGGGATGGCACGTGGAGAGATGGTCCTGGATGGACTACTGAAGGGTCTAGAGGCAAAACTACAAATTTTGGAATACAGGAGAGGGAAGACACCTTGTCAAACGGAAGTGTGAACAAGAGATTTCCCGACCTTACCCTCACAGTTTTGTGATGTTTGGAAGCACTACCAAATTAGGGCTAGGACTACCGAATACGGTAATGAACATGTGCAAGTAAGCTATTACTGGATGAGACAAAAAAAGAGAGCGAGTTTTCCTTGTAGGGTTTTCATCGAGTATTGTGAGTTCTTTCGGAGAGAACAAACGAGGAAACTGTGTTATTGTGAGTTTTATGGGCTGTCTATTGATTGGCTCATTTTTTGCGTGCCAAGACCAGGATACGCTGAAGAAATACACAACACAAGCGGGGCAGATTCAGAAGCGAAGTGATCATTCACAGAGTCAAAACAAACATGCCCGACGGCAACAAACCGAGTGATGAAGAACAATGTCTCATAAAAGAAATCGAAAAGGAAATTGAGAAGGTCAAGTTCTTCATGGAGGAGATAGAAATAGAGATGGAAATAGTCAACACAGAAGCTGTGAAAATCATCACAAAACTGTCAGAATTTATTTCACAGACAGAAGAATTAAAAATGAAGTGATGACTGTCACCTTGGATGGTGAGACAGTGGAGAAAAGACATTACATCAAAGTGTGCAGCATTTCTTAGCCACAACCAAAGGCTTAGAAAATGTCTAGATGATAGAGAGGAAAAAATTACGCAACAATAAGAAGATTTGAAGTGGGAGCAACAGTTGGAAGATGAGCGGCACTTTGACATGTGAAGAACAACAGGAACATGAGTGTGAGTTGTGGAAGGGAAACTTGAAGCTGAATTACTTGTAGCAGAAAAGAAATTAGAAATGGAGAAAGCAGCTGTTTCCAGCACCACAAAGTTACCAAAATTAAAGATAACAACATTCAAGGATACTGCCGGTGACTGGGTAAGTTTTAAAAAAATGTTCTTGATGCAAGTTGATGCGAAGTACATTTCTGATGAAGAGAGATTCAGGAACCTTGTAGAATCTGTTAACCAGAAGTTTGTTTCTTTAATTACAACATTCCAAGGTTTTAAAAAAGCTCTGAATGTATTGGGTTTTAACAGTGAACAACAGATGAGTGAAAACTGCGCGCACCATTTCGCAGGGAATGTATCTTGCCCCTAATATGTCGTACCGGTGGTGACACGATTGGATGGGTCACCATAATGGGTCACTATACTATCCAGGGCGTTTTCTAAGACCTCCCTGGTACATATCATGGAATAAGAAAGAAAAGGATAAAGTTCTTTCACACCTAATTGAAATTGCCAAGGTTTATAGAGCCTTCATACATGTAAGACAAGTTATGAAGACTTTGATCATGATGACCCAATTGTTCGCTGAAAGAAACTTACAAACATTTTAATTGAACTAATGTACGGTGACCCATGTACACATCGAGTATAACACTTTTTTTGAGGTTTTAAGGATATGTATTGTCCTCATTTGATATGATTCATGTTTTGTGCCTTAATTCCCACATTTTTGGCACAGTAGTTTGTTTTATAGCTATTCAGGAAGGTGTATATTTGGGGTAAAGAATGAGAACCAATGTCACCATCACCATTTGGCGCAAGGCCAAATTAACATACGTTGTAAACAACTGATAAAAAGTTATCGATTTTACAGCAGTAGCCTGGAATATCATGAAGAAACTTTTGGACGTTTTTTAACAAACATCATTGGAACAGTGACACCCTTTTTACACGCTTGTAGTAGATAGTATCTTTAGAAATTTAGAAAGTGGGATACTGTTCTCGCTTGGGAAAAATCCTGGCTTGTTGCATTTTCCAGTTTGGAAGAATAGTTTGCCCCTTCCTCTCGAAATCGCTTAATCGCTCTTCGGAGCTGTCTTTCGCCTCTTGCCGTTAACATAGAAAGGCATTCCTTTGGGCATTGTTCGTTACACTTTTTTTTGGCAAAGATATGACAAGGCCTTCTTTATCATGCTCCACACATTTTCTCTAGAAATGTGGCACATTGGAGCGACTCTCTGTATGCGAAAGCCCTAAATTTTACGCAAATAGTATGCACGTGCTATATTGTCACGCTATCAATCACCCACTTAAAAGCTATTTGTGTACCGTTTATTGCATACCGTGCTCAGTTCCTTTTATTTTCCAATACTCTACTTCCCAAAAAAAATTTCTGCGAACTGGACATTCTTTGTGTTCGGCCAAAATAACTCAGTTCACTGCTATAGAAATGTTCGCGAAACACAATGGACGCCGCAACAAACCCAAACCCGGCGCTTGTGACCGACCTAGAGATTAACCTCCGTATCTGTCAACACGTCTTCAAATTCCTCCCCAACACAGTCTCAGACAAAAATAGTTGGGACACTTAAACCAAACGCTGTTTTTTTCCTTCTCGTGCTCCCCTTGTCCCTCTCAAAGTTGTTTATCACGGTTCAGTCACCAAACCTTGTATACCAACACTGAAGGGACAAGGAGACACAAAAGTGTCCCAACAATTTTGACTGAGACTGTAGCTACAGCTTGCCCGAATGCCCGGCCTGAATGGCAGGCGGTAAAACTGACTTTCTTTGCATCCTGATGTTCAGTAGAGTGATTGACACGAAAACCAAACTGCCATGAGAAAATTATATTATGCTTATCTAAATATTTAATTAGCCTATTATACATTAATTTTTCCAGAATTTGAGTAAAAATTGACAATAGAGATATTGGTCTGTAATTTGTTAGTGACAAACAAGATTTAGCCTTGTAAACAGGAATAACACAAGCAATTTTAAACGCATCAGGAACAGTGCCTGAGGAAAATGAGAAATTATATAAAACCTCCAAAGGCTTTAAGATCACTAACTTCAAAATCTTAAGAAGAGGAACAGGAAGGCTAGAGGGGCCACATGCTTTCCCAGATCTAAGACTAGAAATAAAATCTTGAATTTCCTGTACGGATGTACAACTGTAGGACTAAGAAAAAAACTGTTTGCCCTAGGAATAGCTTGACTAATTAAGTGTTGCCAATATTTGCAAAATAATGATTAAACTCATTGGCTATATCATAGAATGTATATATCACTAATTGTTAGAAGGAGTAATAATTTTGGATGGGGTTAAGTATGCTTCAGGTTTAAGGGCTACAATTTGATTCATGCCTTTCAAAATGTTTTAAATATTAGACTTACTTTACCCAAAAATAGTCTTCATAATACAACTTCTTACTGATTTTGCAAACTGGATGTCCTGGGAATTCAAGACAAACCAAGTGCAGATCAATCAGGTCTTAACCTGTCTATGAAGAATTCAAAGAACAATGTTTTATTAACTCAAAGTCCAGAGGGTTAGTATGACACAGGGCTACTCTGGAGAGGAGACCACCCTGCAAATTTACTTTGCCAAACAACAAGATGGGTAGCTTGAAGCATCTCGACAGAACCTTATGAAAACTGGAGAAAAGGGAATATTGGAGCAGTACAATGTCATCATCAAAGATCAGCTTGCTAAGAACATAGTAGAACTGGTGGGAGAACACATGGTGGGGTGAGAGTTTTATACTCCAGTGCTCATGCTAGAAATTGTCCAAAGTGGGACAGGTGTCCCCTTGCTTTAAAAAAGTGGGGACATCGGACTATATTGGGAGGGGACATTTTGTAAAATTCATGGATGACTTAGAACCAACTTTAACAACATTTTTATGGCAGGCTTTCTTCATATCAAAGCTTAGCTATTTATTATTTCCATCAACATAGTGGCAACTTAGCTATCATAGAACTCAATAAAGGACAGCACTCTGTGGAGCATCTATAGATTATCAGAGTGAGATGGCAGGAAAACATTGTGTCATTCATTGTGTGGTTCCAGAAAATATCCATACGACCACCACGGAAGGGATTTGCCGTATGGACCCCCTCACCTCTGGATTTTCCAAAATCAGGCCCCAAAATTTACCCCCCTCCCCTCCGGAATTTCCAAAATTTTCACACACCTCCTGTAAATATTGCTCTCTTATTGAAGTGAACAAATAAGTAGTTTTGTTCACTAGGATGCCACACTTTGGGAGTTTCATGTATTTTCCGGAACAAAGCAACACTTGAAGAAGTATAAACAAAGAGATCAGGACCTTGTCTCGTGACAAGACAGTGTGAGTATCGAATTTCATTCCACCAAATTTGCATATTTGAGTTTGGTAAAATTAAGCATCACCGATTTCATATTATGAGAAAATTGTCACAAAAAATGACGTGCTGGAAAAGACTCTGTACCTTCTTTGTGATGGAGAAACAGTCAAGTGAAGAATCTTGAAATGTAACCAATTAAAAGAAAATTTTTTTCGTGTTTAATGTGTTTTGACATGTAAGGAATATGAAAGTTTTCGTTCTGCTGGCTCATAAAACTACAAAAGTGTAAAAGACAACATATATTATTTTTGGGAAACTTAACAGTTGAAAAAAAATACTTAAGTATTGCATTAAAACGTATGCCGATACTGTCGATAATCGAATGATAATATGAAAGCGAAGATGGCTACAAAAAGGAGCACAGATCCGTGACTATTCATGATGCGTTTGTAAACAAACTTTGGAGAATGCCTGGAGAATAACAGATCATTTCGCGCGAGTGGCTAGCGACAAAATTGTTTTGGGATGGAAACTCAGCAAAAAATTTATCTTTGAACAGATAGCTTCAGTCGCTCGAAAGGTCAGTAGTTTCTTTTTTGAACGGATAGCCCGAGCCGTTCGAATGGATAACAATTTTTTTTCAAACGAATAGCTAAAGCTGTTAGCCTCCCCACAGACGTCCTTTGGGGTTCGTTTGTCACGCATTCATTTCTCCCCCTCCGTGGGGGAGAAATGAATGCGTGACAAACGAACCCCAAAGGACGTCTGCGGGGAGGCTATAAAGCTGTTCAAATGGCTGACATTTTTTTCAAATGGATAGCCCAAGGCATTCAAATGGATGACAATTTTTCGAACAGATAACCCAAGACGCTCGAACGGATGACAGTTTTTCTTCTACCGGATAGCCTGAGCCGTTCAAATGGATACCAAATCCATTTGAACGGCCATCTGCTCAAAAACGGCAAACTGTATTAAAGGAATGTTTTCGCGTTAGAGGTCACGCTGGCGCACTGACAAAATGTTTGCTTTGTTTGTTAATCCTGATGTTTAGTGGCTCTTTAACTTTTGTCGTGTTTAATATCTTCGCAAATAAATTATAGTGGTAAATTTTTGTGTTTTTTCTTTGTTACACTCTTATGCGTCACAAGAACCCTCTGGAAATATTTCCCTATGGTGAAACCCACTCCCCGCTGGAAAATTAGGCAAATTGACCCCCCTTCCACCCTGGAAAATCCAATCCCTTTCATGGTGGTGGTATGGATATTTTCTGGAACCACACATTACAGGATTCTACGTTTTGCTCTGTTGCTAGGCTTTTGTACATTATGCTTTTGCTTCCCTACTAAAATGCTCCACCTTAACCCATTCGCCCCTGAACCGCCCGTAACCGCCCGTGCGGATCCAGGTCCTTTCTACCCTTTGTGACGTCATCAGTTGTAATGGTCAAGGACAACTTTCTTCGCACACGTGTGCAGAGTGAAGAGATCTTTCAAACCATACCAGAATGAGCACAATTCAGTCAAGGGCACCGGAGAAAGAAGCAAAAAACCACGTGACAAGGACCTGAAAATCTCCATGAAAATCTTGTTCCATTACCCACCTACCTTTCCTTTCACCTAATCCTAAGATCCTAAAAGCTTTCCTAAAAACTCTTCCCACCAAAATGAAGCCTACTAAATGCCCAGCAAGAGAAAAAAAAAATGAGGCAAGAAAAGCGAAAAAAGAAGGGAGGAGATCGAGAAAGCGAAAAGTAAAAGTCAAGACTGCTGTGTCACTTTTAAACCCAAAAACTATGTCGAAATTTTGCTTTCTGCGCATGCCCGAACTTCGCAAGCTGATATTTTGCATCTGGATCAGAAGGCCGCCAAGTGTACGACCTGTAAACCGGTTTGTTGTAAGTTTTAGCTCTTTATAGCACGACAGTGACCAGAAAACCACTCGACTAGCTTCAAAACGCGTTTTCGGCAAAATCTCCAGGAGCGAATGGGTTAATGCTCCATTTTTCCCACTAAAATGCTCGGTCTCCCCAAAAAAGTCACTAAAATGCTCGAATAATGCTCATTATATACAAACGGTTTTGTTTAATTAATTTCAAAGTTTACACTTACGAAACCGTGCAAGTGTTGCAAGTAACAACGACAACGTGTACAAGTTCATAAATACAGCCAAAGAACGAAACCAGCTGTATTAGGTTTTTTGTGAATTTGAATTTTAGTCTTCATTTTGTTTAAAAAAGCAGGAGCTCATGGGGCATGGGCTCCTGAAAAAAGTTAATTTCTATTTTATTTTCTCGGAAAAATTAATTTTCCGGGGAAAATGCCACTAAAATGCTGGAATAATGCTCAATGCTTTTGCCTCACTAAAATGTTCGAAAAAATGCTAGCATAATGTACAAAAGCCTATCTGTTGCTCCACATTTTCTGTCAAAATCAAATTTCCCTTGGTCATGGAATTCTTTTTGTTGTGCTTTAACCCATTCACCCCTGAACCGCCCATAACCGCCCGTGCGGATCGACGTCCTTTCTACCCTTTGTGACATCATCAGTTTTAACGGTCAAGGACAACTTTGTCTGCTAACTTGTGCAGAGTGAAGAGATCTTTCAAACCATACCAGAATGAGCACAATTTAGTCAAGGACACCGGAGAAAGAGGCAAAAAACCATGTAACATTGACCTGAAAATCTCCTTGAAAATCTTGTTCCATTGCCCATCTACCTTTCCTTTCACCTAATCCTAAGATCCTAAAAGCTTTCCTAAAAACTATTCCCACCAAAAAGAAGCCTACTAAATGCCCAGCAAGAGAAAAAAAAATGAGACAAGAAAAGCGAAAAAATAGGGGAGGAGAGAAAGCGAAAAGTAAAAGTCAAGACTGCTGTGTCACTTTTAAACCCCAAATTGGAAAAACTATCTCGAAATTTTGCTTTCTGCGCTTGCCCGAACTTCGCAAGCTGATATTTTGCATCTGGATCAGAAGGCCATGAAGTGTACGACCTGTAAATCGGTTTGTGGTAAGTTTTAGCTCTTTATAGCACGACAGTGACCAGAAAACCACTCGACTAGCTTCAAAACGCGTTTTTCGGCAAAATCTCCAGGAGCGAATGGGTTAATCATGAAGCGCAAACGACTTTGGTTAAATTTTGTCACCATGTTGAGAGCATGACAATTGACTGGGATCATAAGGTAATATGTCTAGATCCCGGACCCCTTGCAATGAAATTTTGTTTTCATTTTTGTTATTTTACAAAATCATTCCTTCACAAAAAAGCATCACACTGATGCACAAAAACAATTTATTTGAATCAGTAGGTTGTAAAAATGCGCTCTAGAATGAAGACTGATATTCCTTATAAGCATGTGACCAGGGAGACCATTGAAAATATGATGCTTCATATTGTCTATGTCGCCTCGGCTTGTGTCCACGAGGAGGCGGCTTCACTTAACGACTGCCTCCATGTGGGTCCACCTTTCCAAAATAAACAATGGACGGTACCAGTACATGCATACATACGTACATACCAACATACATACTTTATTAATGTGACTAACACTTAGCTATAAAGCTAGTTTACAGGTCAGTCATGAAAAGAAAGATAAATAAACAAACATGGAAACTACATAAAAGTGCTTAAAATGATATAGTATTAATTGGAAACTGCATAAAATTATAGAACTATTAAACTTACCGTATTTATTCGATTAACCGCCCTGGGCGCTTATTAAATTTTTGGACCTTGAGAGTGGGCGCTTATTCGAGGTGGGCGCTTACTCGAGGCTGGGCGCTTATTAAATTTTCACCATTTTCAGCAAGTGAAGTATGTTTATTTTGCAACAGAACAACAAAAAGCTAATAACAAAACGCGAAGAAGTAACAAAGCAAGGTTTCTGTAAAATACTCTGAAGAAGAATTTATTCACTTAAGTGGGTGGGGTGGGGGTAAGCGCTTATTTGAGTTTGATTTTGAGGAGGAGGGCTGGGCGCTTATTCGAGGCTGGGTGCTTATTAACTTTTTCTGCCTTTAGGATGAGCGCTTATTCGAGGTGGGCGCTAATTCGAGGTTGGGCGCTTATTCGAATAAATACGGTATATACTAAGAAAACTGGGTAAATTGCAAATAAGGGTCTATAAAATTGCAACCATACAAAAGTGTTTAAAATGATATAGTATATGGAAAATGCATAAAATTATAGAACTACAATACTTATATACCGTAAATCCTCTATCAAACCCCCTGGGGGGCTTATTTTCTCCAAGCACTTTTGAGGGGGGGCTTAATAGAGAGGGGGGCTTATTTTAGTGAAATGCATCAACAGCAGCAAGGTTTCTTGAGGACAGACTTGTGGTTACTGGGCACTATACTGTTTTTCAAACAATAAGAAAATGGTGACGATTCTCCACAGAGAACTAGAGCATAAAGTTGAAAAAGTTAAGCACATGAAGTTGGAGGTCATGCAGCCGAAGACCAAAAACAATATGAATATCCAGCCTGAATAAACATAACTGATCAGTACATGTTAATTGTTTGTGAAAAATAAGGATGAAGGGGAGGGGAACGGGGCTAGGGGGGCTTATTAACTATCCGTCTCTGAAAAGGGGGGCTTATTTGAGAGGGGGGGACTTAATAGAGGATTTACGGTACTACAAAAAGTTAAATTGTGAATAAGGGACTATAAACTTGCAAGGTTGAGCTCCTTGAGTGCGGTAGCTATCGATATTTCCTAAATTATTAGGAATAGTGTTCTTAAATTATGAAGTGCACAAGGTGGTTTCAATCTTCATAAATGGCATTTGAATGCCAGGGAACATTGTAGATAGAGTAAACACACAGACTGGAAAAGAGATCGGCGAAACACAGGAGACCCATGAGAAAAGCAGCTAGGTGTCCCACAGAGAGGAAAAGGAGCACTTCTAGGCATTTCCTGGGACATGGTGGTTCCTGGTCAAGTTTCCCCCTGAATGTGCCCAACCCACAAAGAGAGGCCTGTTGGCTAAAGTGGCCAAGATTTACAATCCACTGGGTCTGGTTTCATCTACAACACTTTGTGGCTAACTGTTATATGGCAAGACCTGTGATCTAAAGATAGCGTTGGACAAAGAAATCCCAGAACAGCTGTCCAGGAAGCTGACATTGTGGGAAGAAGAGATGCCTTAAAGGGTCAGCATATTGAGAGGTCTGCCACTGCACAGCGAGCCGATTGGCTACATCGACCTTCATTGCTTTGGTGATGCCAGTGGTAAGGAAGTCTGTGCAGCTCTGTATGCGGCGGTTATGCAGTCCTCTGGTGCTAGTGAGTGACTTGTAACAGCAAGAGCAAGACTAGCAAAAATGGGGCTCAGCATACTGCATTTAGAATTGGTTTCGGGACACATGGCTATTAATTCGACTAGCAGTAGCAGTTGGCTAGGAAGTGCGTGCGAACATGTGGGTTTACCTTGGAGATTTGAGTGATAAAAACCACTTTCATAATTGTTGAAGTGAATCAAAGAAAGCCCTTTTACTTCCTGTGTCAACGGATCATGAAAACTGGAATGAACAACACTTAAATTTAATGATTCTATTCACAGTTGCTTTGATACAATTAGCCTATTCGTCAGCAAGGATACATTGAAACAGTAATGTGTGACACAAGGAATGGGTGTATAAAGTCATGACTGCACGAAATCTTATTATTTAATCAAATATTCAATCCGCGTTCAAAGACCAAAGGCCGTTGATATGCAATAGACAATAATGAAACGGCTTAAATTACCATTGGAGTTTAAAGCTTATTGAAGCTTTTGGATGACAAGCATCCTAACATGCTTGGAAACATATAGAATTATGAATGCACTGTAGTGAAACTTCAATAAACTTAATTTACATTGATTTCTAGACTTTGCAAACACTTTTTTGTTTGTTTGTTTGTTTATTTTATTTTATTAATAATAACCAAATTACAACACAAACAAAAAAATGGTTAAAAGAAAGTACGGTTCGACCACCTAAAAAAGACAGGAGCAATAAACGAACGTTGATTGTGGACTATCAGTCAGATATATCTAGTTAAACAAAAGATTTACAATTCGTTCAAAATATTTTTTGGTATTTGACCATCAGGGAAAGGAAACAATCGATATCGAGAGCTATTTTAAGAGCGATCTGTAAGAAAGTTGCATTTTTTAGTGTCCCCTGCATTTTTCTCTATAATAGATCTTGACTCAACTAGGCGTAGAAAATTTGCAAAATTTGGCGATATTTCATCCATTTTGGCTTGCCAAATATGAAACCGCCTAACGGGAGACAATAGTTTAATTGACACGAGTATTCTGTAGAATGAGGCTCCGGCCTCAAGCCCAGTGCAGTAACGTTCAATAAGTTGTATTTGCCGATTAACGGAAGAGCATTTTGAAGCGAGTCAGTTGCGCTTTTCCAAAAATAGGATGTAAACATGGCAAAAAGATGAATTAGCATCTCTGAGGAATTGTTGCAAAAGGTACAGTTGTCATTTTCTTTTCGTCCTATTTTAAGTAGGAAATCATTGGTTGGTATGCGCCTATGTAATAGTTTAAATTGGAACTCTATCAGTTTGGTGCTTTTTGTGCACCGTTGTGCCATAAGATAGGCAAGTTCCTAATTAATTAAATGTTCACTCTTTGTCTGAGTAGTTGCAGTCTTGAAATCACATTAGTTGGCTTTTACGTGGGGTTAAACTTTCGGCTCTGATCAGTTTTTGGTAAATTAACGGACCTGGCTTTTCTCTTAACAATTTTTTCACTTAACGTTTAAAAGGTATAGTCTCTTGTCTCAGCAGTATCGGTAACATTTTTGTGAATTTGTTTAACAGCTGATAATAAAAAACTGAGCAGGCGTACTCTTAAATCATGTTTGGAGGCAAAATCTTTGAGAGTCAGAAAATTATCATTTACTGATTGGAGGTACATGATTAACTTTGGAGATACCTATTTCAAACCACTCTTTAAAAAAAATTGGTTTATCTATCCTTATTAAAGAGCTGAACCACAGAAACTGTTCTTGAAAAGAACAGAACTTACTTGATCCACAAAGATTATTTCTGCCCAATATTCCAATATTTCTTTAAGAAAGGGGTCTGTTGCCCTAACCTATTTCTTTAATAGTGTCCAAGACATTGAGATTACCACGGAAAATGAGATTGCGGCCGTAGTTGTCCAGTTCTAGATCAAAGAGAAATTTCTATTTTCCGAGATTAGTCGTGTCCAAGTACTTTTTAACCTATGTTGTTTGAAGAGATTTGTTGAAAGAGCAGAGGTCAATCATCTTCAGGCCTCCATACTCAGGTTCATTGATCATAACTTTTCTTTTGATTTTGTCACCTTTACCATTCCATAGGAAATGGTAAAATATGTCATTTATTTCTTTTATAGCATGATGATTTGAAGGTAAAGGGGAGAACAGGTAAACCAGTTGTGATGCGGCCAGTGATTTGAGGACAGTAATTTTCCCTAACAACGTGAGTCTACAGTATTTCCAGCAACTCAAAAGCTTCCTCATGTTTTCAGTTTCTTTGTTGTAAATCAACCTTAAAGCTGTGTCCGGATCAGTTGACAGCCACAGACCAAGTGTTTTAACTTTATATTTTGGCCACTTAAACTTCTTTCCTGAAACAAGGATTTTGTTCATGCCCTATCTTAGAACTGATCCAAAGAGCTTCTGTTTAGCTATCACTTAACTTAAGGCTGGAGAACTTACCAAAATCATCTAAAATTTGTGGCAAAGTAAATCATAATGAAACAATGGCTGAAGTACGCTCTAATTAGTTAACTCTATTTTACGAGTAAAATGTCCATTGCTGACGTAAGGGATTTCTCTGAACCGTCTAAGATAAGAGTGGTATCATCAGAGTATTGGCTTATCTTAACTTCGTCATTACCTATCAAAAACGAAGGGCCATTCAAGAGAATCAAAAGCTTTTTCAAAATCTATAAAGAGCAACAACCCGGGAACATTACGCTGTGTAGCATACTGGATGATGCCATCTATAAGTCTAATATTTTCCCCAATGAACTGCCCTTTCATAAAGCCTGTCTGATCATTATTTATCAGTTTTGAGAGAACGGTTTTTATAAGGTTTGCTATAGCTTTTGCTGCAATTTTGTAATCTGCATTAAGGAGAGTTATAGGACGCCAATTTTTTTATATAAAATGGTTCTATGCTCTTTTTTGGAATAAGTTTCATGATACTCCTTCTTTGAGTAATAGACAACCAGCCTGATTTGTAAGCAACATTGAGGGCGCGGAGAGTAAATGAGTAGAAATGTCAACCCAAAAGGCTTTGTAAAATTCGACTGGAAGACCATCTGTAGTGGGCGTTTTATCTGCGTTCATAGATTTTAAAGCTTCTTCACATTCTGTGTTAGTTAAGAGACCATTGCAAACCCGTTGGTCATCAGGAGTCTAAAAAGTCTCATTTGCTTGCTGAAAGAAATCAAAATTCACAGAGTTGTCTATTTTTGAGGCGTAGAGATCTTTATAGAAAGATTCACATTCAGATAATAATACATCTTTGTCAGATTGTACGAAAACTCTGTCACTAAGTTACAATTGGCTTATTGTACCTTGTTTAAAGTGACGTTTTTCAAGATTAAGAAAATATTCAGTATTTTTTTCACCTTCGTCGCACCACCTGGACTTTGATCGAAGAATGGCACCTTTGGTTCGGTATTCA